AGCGCCCAGCGCAGCAGCGGCAGCAGCAGCAGCAGCACCAGCAGCAGCAGCAGACCACCCAGCGGCGGCAGCAGCAGCAGCAGCATACCCAACGCCGCGGCAGCAGCAGCCGCAGCAGACCACCCAGCGCCAGCAGCAGCAGCAGCAGACGACCCGGCGCCTGCAGAGCACCCAGCGCAGCAGCGCCCAGCGCAGCAGCGGCAGCAGCAGCACCAGCAGCAGCAGCACCAGCAGCAGACCACCGGAAGCCCGGCTAGCTTTCGTTCACCCCCTCTGGCCTCAAGTTGGTGTGTTTGAAAGAAATGCTTCAGGTTTGCCTCCATCATTTCATGCCTAGACTCGCAGCACAGGCATCGACATTTTGCTGGGCTTCGCCAAGAGGCGGAGCCGGTGGCAGTCGACGTGGTGGTCCATCCGTCGGGCAGTCCGTTGGAGTCCCGACCGGATAGGATTGACAGATATGTTCTGCAGGATGTCCTGAGCATGGCAATGGCTCCAAACATGTCCTTTTCTTTGTTCGCTTACAGTGATTTCAGAGTAGATGGTGCAATCCCCAAGTTTGGTGGTTTAGATGGACCCCCTATATATAAAACACATCTTGGGGGTTGTGCCATCTACTCTGAAACCACTGTAAGGAGCTGGCTGTTTGCACAGCGGTTCTTCCTTCCTTTTTCCAACAGGGTTTGAGTATCTTTTGGATATGCTTCGACTCCAGTTCAAGAATGTTTGAGATTCCGAGTGCGCTAGGATCTCATCCTATCCTATCCCAATGAGGTTTGGTGGGACTTGGGGTGTTCAACCTTAGTTTAATTTGACTTCATGCACCCGGGATTTCGGGGTCTTGCCCAAGCAGGTCAAGGATCCAAAGTTGACAGTTAGTTAGTTAGAGCCTTTGTTTAATTGTTATTGCTATTTTTTGATCCAAGAGCTTTCTGACATTGCAAATCATAGGTCTTGCACGGATATATAACGGTCTATCCAAGATGCCTTTGTCGAAGAGCGCAAAAAGACATGACATGCTACAGACTCGGGTTTCCGTACCCGGCAGCATCCTGCAACAAACCGAGTTTGGAGTGCACCTTCTGTTTCGTATCTATAGGGATCCAAGTACCTTCTCAGAAGGTACTTGGACCCTCCAAACCTACTTAACAGTGTCTCCAATCACCTTCTGAGAAGGTACTTGGATGATCTTGGATCCCTATAGGGTATTGTTAGTTGTTCCTTTCGAGGCCATCCAGGCTGGGACCACGTTTGTTGGATGGAGGCATGGAGGCCTACAAAAACTCGTTCATCCGGAGCATGTTGAAGACCTCCGCAAGCACTGCATCTACCCGTTCCCGTTCGCTCACCTGTACCTCACCTCGTTTCATCCGATGTGGGGGTTCATCAACCATGATCCCAAACGCTCCAAAGAATCCCTCCAGATCGACCCCAGAGGGATTGGTTCGGTTCGACCCGATTCGACCCTCCAGAGGCTTCGGGTCCAGCGCGTGGGACATCAATACACTCCCGGGAATCATCATGGATGGCTGGATGGCATGGCCACAGCTCCAAACAGGTGTCCACTCCGCGAAACCATGATGACTCCAGGATCAGTCACCAAGTCGTCATGGACCTGCTGCAACCTCCAGAAGTCCTTGGATTCCGAAGCACCTACTAGACGACGACCCCTCCGTGGATGGGGACCCGACTTGGCGCGCCAGGTCCACCGCCTCATCGCTGGAAGGCACCGAGCTTTGGATCGACGCTGCCCCTTGGAGCGAAGCGACGAAGCGCCAGGTGCGACGTGGACGACGACGGCGGAGCGATGGCCGAAGCATCCGGGGGATGGAAGGGATGGGGTGTGTTTGAGGAGCTTTGTGGTGTAAGAAGAACCTACTGAGTAGGAAGCACATGGAAGCCCATTGTCATGTTCAATCTGATTCATTTGGGTTCAACAAGCATTCGAGATGTTCTCAAGGGATCCCCCAAAGTCAATAGTTAGTTTGTTGATGTTTGTTGCAAACGCTGTTCAGTTCATCATGTTGCTTTCACAATATAACTCGTCGATTTAGTAATAGTAGATCAATTCCCAAACTTTGCAGAACCACCGGAGTGAGTTCTGGTGCTTTGGCTGAAATCAACCCACCACGGAATAAGCCGCTACGCGAAGAGTCCCAGGTTTGGGCGGATCATTTGTGCATTTGGGCCGTGCTGATGTGCGGGAGCACAGCGAAGCGGAGAAGCGAAGGGAACGGACTGAAGTGCAGAGCTTTTTGCAGCAAGACGTGCGAAGCAGTTCGACACGATGCCACAATGGTTGTTAATTATACATGCACTTCTTCGGTAGCCGCTAGCCGCTAGCCATTTGGAAGTAGCAGAAGCCAAACTATTTAAGTTGGAAGTGCAGAGCAGTTCTATTTAGCGGGATGGGCCATTTGGAAGCCCCAGGGCCGTCCATGAAGGGCTCGTCCAATCCGCTCTCCAAGGCACCAGTGGATCTTGCAGCGCTATGGCGTCGGCCGCTTCGCAGGGGCATCCCGGATCGGACGGCGCTGGATTGCAGTTGGCGCAGGGCGCTGGAATTCTAGTATAGACTGTTTGATGAATGAACTCTAAATGTTTGATTAATGAACCCCCTCCTACTTACTTGAATGATATTGAATGGTATCTCATATAATTATGGTTATTACTTAGGACATGTTAGGACGATATATGGACTGATTTGATATGGGGGGAGTGGGGCATTATTCGTCACCAGTCTACTCAAATATGTAATCCATGAACGGTTGGGAAGTTCCGTGGAAGCTCAGCCATGGGTCGTCATCGTTCGATGCATGTTTGGGGGGGACTTTGCTCAAGAAGCCTTCGGAAGTGGACCAAGACTCGATCTGTTCAAGATATGTGATATATGATTGACCCAGTTTGAGCAGATGGACACATGGTCAATGAAGCCAATAATGGTGTGCCTTCCATGAGTCTATGTGTCTGCAGTTCCTTTCGGAGGTGGAGTGTTCTTCGGCTAGCGGCTAGCATCACCTGACCTGTCAACAATCTTAAAGATCCCTGATTACACAAACTCCATTAGAGCCAATCAGAGAATGTGAGCCTTGAAGGTCATGAAACACAGATGGCTGTCATCATCCCAGTTGGATTTCGAGCAAATGATTTTCAAAGCTTGTCATTGATATCATGAGCCATGCCCAACAGATCAAGTGCCACGGACTTTGGCCAACCAGCAAGAACAAGAGCAACCAACCCTTTTGGCCCACGTGAAGGAGACACTGTTTCCTTGGTGCAGAGTGTGGGGTTTATGTAACGTTGTCTTTTTTTGTGAAAAGCCATGGCTTGAAAGGAATAGTTAAATGGCCAACATGTTTGCCCTCCAGCAGATCCTGAACTTCCCAGCAGCACGCCCATTGCGATTCACCCGCGGCCCGCATCGCAGACCCCCTCCCGCATCGTAGGTGGTGTTCGACGCCCAAAGCCAGCGCTTGTGGTTGCGTCGGGAAGCTGAGCCAGAGTCGTCCGTTGGCCTTGCTTCTTAGTCGAGTCATTGGCTCCATAGTGGCTTGTTCATACTATATAGTTCTTGGTCTATAGTCATAGTCTATAGTTCTTGGTCTATAGTCATTGGCCTCGCTGTTCCAGAATGTGGCCAGAAAGTTCCAGAATGCCCCATGCCAGCCCACTCTTGCTAAGACTTGCTAAGTCCAACTTGAGGACTTTCGCGTGATCCACCTGATGTCAAGAATTCTATATGGACCATGCAGGAATGTTCTGTTATGTTACGTTCTGGTTCTTTTCCTCGTCCTGGGCCCTGTCCTTGCCCTACAGACCAGATTAAATCCATGCATCTCCCACGACGAGGTAAGCAGGGTGACCAGTGCCCAGCGCCCTCGCCGTTGTCGTCACAAGAAGTGCGCCTGAAGGCGCAGCTCGCGAAACCCCGTGAAACGCCGCGAAAGAGCTGGGGTGGGTGGTCAATAGACATGATTTTCCACATTCCATGTATGGAATGCATGAAGACATTGACCCCTTGTCAGCCTGCCACTCCAGTAGGTGGGTGTCAGAGTGCATCGATTGGATGGTTGAAATAGTTGGACGTGCCGGGGCCTGACACACTCTGTGCCTTGGGTGATACACATGATGAGATGCCCCACTTAAACTGTAAGGAGGCATGTAGCGGTTCTGGGTTGTCTAATAGGACTAATAGGTTGTGTTTGTTGTCTTTGGGCTTCCTGGTGCCTTTCTTTCGTGTGGCCATGCGGTCGGCAGGAGGAAAACCTGGGTACCTGGGGCAGCCACTTCCGAGAGGACCATAAGGCCCGGAGCCACAGAAGCAGCGTGGACGCCAGCGCGGACGGGAGGAGACGGGAGGGGTGGAAGTTCATGTGGTGAAACTGCCAAAAATTGCTGCTGTGTTACATATGGCTACACCATGCTACACCAAAGAACAAGAAACAGCTGGACATGCTGTGACTGTTTGAAGTGGATGTGTTTTTTGCCTCCAAGACAGTGCATACGTCCAACGACAGATCATTGACGACCCCAGTCGACAGGCTCGGTCGCTCGGAATCACCGTTTGGGTCGCTCGGTGGAATGCCAAAGACTTCAAGAGACATGTGATTCATGTGATTGATGGACAGGCTTGGTTCCAAAATGTTCCAAACACTCCCTCCCCCAAAAAGACTTGGACTCCTTGCTGGGAATTGATCGACGGGTTCCGCGAACCATAGCCATTATTTATGAGTTTGCTTGGAACTTCACAAGGCGCATTTGGTTGATGTATGTTGGTGTTGGTGAAAGCTTAAGAAAGGTTAAGCTGATGGGGTTTGAAGGGACCCGAGAAAAGGGCAGGTTTGGTGTCGTCATCCTTCGTTTGGGGATTTTAAGTGTAAACTGTGCTTACGGAAGGTACTTGTGGTTCTGGATGGTTCCGGTATGATCTGGTTGTGGTGGTCGTTACTGGTGGAATATGGAATTGTTGCACAAGGGTTCACTCGTCTTTGGACATTTGCAGCCTTTTAAGACGGCCCCTGACACGCCGCCGTGCGGTGGTCATGGCTGTTCCAGCCATGTGCGGTCATGCGCTGCACCGATGTGGGGGAGCTGCTGCGGGGTGGGAAAGCATGGGCCAGAGCCACTTGGATCGCCGAAAAGCGGTGTAAATCAGCATCCCAGACTCTCCATGTATGGCATACATGGAATATTTGTCTATATTGACCCCTTTTCAACCACCTGATCGGTAAATATTGCCAGTCCCATGGAGGGTTTGGGTATGCCATCGACGCTTCTCGAGCGAGACGTTTCAAAAGTCGATAAGTCCTCACCCCACCTTGAAATGTTTTTAACATCGGTGCGAGTGGTTTTTCCCGAGCAGAAGGGCATGTTGAAACAGCTATATATATATATATTAATATCAATTGACCCGGAGTGTCCACCCTTGAACTCTCTAAGGCGGTGCTCCTGCAACTGCTGTGCGCAGCGGAGCCGGCGTTGCCGCCGAGGTCGTGCGACCGGCGGGTCCAGCGGCGGGTCCAGCGGCGGATCCAGCGGCTCCTGCAGCAGCTGGACGGCCACGGAGAGGGTGCGGAGTCCGCGGAGCGCGCCGAAGCCATTTATGTTGCGTGGCAGGCGTGGAACAAAAGGGAGAGAAAGGAGGAATGAATGAATGAGTGAATGAAAAAGAATGACTGAATGAAATGAGTGACGGAGTGAGTGAGTGATTTAATGGAGGAAGTGGGAGCTTTGCAGGTCTTCGAGGAGTCCTACCACCTAGACCTTCACAACTCCACCACTTTCATCAGCCTCTTGGCCCGGCACAGCCGCTGGGCGGAGGCCTTGGACGTCTTCGCGGGCGTGGAACGGAGACGCGTGCCGGACGTGGTGTGCTGGAGCGCCGCCATCAGCGCTTGTGAGAAGGGAGACTTGGAGGCCTTAAGCATGATCCAGGTCAACAGCTTGATCCAGATGGATGGGTGTACCACTGGAACTTGGAAGACACTGCATTGACGGACTACCATCATAACCGTAGCTCCATAGCCAGAGCTGGGCAAGATCGCTTGCACCCCCCAGAAAGGGTCAATGTTTCCTCAGTTTCGCCTGGGTGCAAGAAAGCCTGTCTGCCAATTGATACAAAAAAGATGTGTGGACTGGGAAGATGTGCCACCCAACCTTTGCATGTATCATCCCAGTACCACTGCCAGTACATTTCCCAAACATCCATTTCCATCAGATTCTCTAGTATGGTGCTTTGTTGCTATAATCCATTTCTATCAGTTTCTCCCTATGTTGCTAGAATCGGTCTCTCCATGTTGCTTGGTTGTTGCTTTCCCGGATCCAACGACCTCGGAAAGTCCTTGTGGCCGAGGAAGTCGCGTGGAGGATGCCCTGGACTTGCCGCTCGACGGAGGTCTCGAACGGTGGAAGTCGAATGGCCTTCCCCGTCTTGGTATCCAAACCATGACCCTCGGAAACTCATTGATTTGTCAATATATCACACATCATGAACGATATATACAGCCATTAAGATCAGGTTCCCCAACACTACAATGTTGACCCTGGTGGTTTTGTTATTTGCTTTAATCATTATTTGTCAGTTTGTACGATGGGACATTGTCCTGGTGATCCCACATAGGGTCATTCACATGTATATATAAAGTATATTCCTGAATTTTGCTTGTATTTGCAAAATGCATGCAGTAGACATGTTTTATGTTATGTTTTGTCGTTTGGCTCTTGGAACCATCTTCAAAACTTCAAAAACCTCACCAAGGTTTCATGCCATGCCCCGGCGTCATCTCAAAGCAAACGTCTTCTCCTACAGCGCCACAATCAGTGCATGCGAAAAGCTCGGGCATTGGCAGCAAGCCTTGAGTTTGCTCCCCGGACGGAATGTCGTTCATCAACAAATGGGCCACATTGAGTGTGGGGCACAATGGTCAAAACCAGCAAGCAAAGCTAGAGTTTGTTCCTGGTTTAGGCGTTCACCGGTGGTCTTTGGTTTGCAACCAACAGCCATGGCCGAAGTGGAACCACGAGATCACAAGTCGCGGGCGGCGGCAATGAGATTTTGTTGAACAAAGCACTCAACGTTGGGTCTGATGGCCATTCCCAGAACCATCCATGATATCCATGCATGGAATAGTTATAAGTTATATACGTACATTTATCCCATGTATGGCCCTACAATGTAACATATAACTATTCTATACGTGGAATACCGTATCTGGGATTGTTCGCTGTTGCCGCAAACTCTGGAGAGTCAGCCCATATGTCCTGAACACCATATTGTCGGGGGCTCTTTGTGGAGAGTCGACCACAGCCACTTGGGTGAAACAGTGAGCCACTTGAGTGTTTTGTCTCCAGCTGAGTGTGAGCATCATCATCAAATTGTGAAAAGGCACATGAAGACCATTTTTGCTGGATGAGATAATCAACGAACAGGGCATCCAACGGGTACATATTTTGTGATTTTTTTGTGGACAAGATACCGTAAACAACTTGAAGGGCTTTCTTGATTATTATGTTGCGTAGTGAACCACTGAAATCAATGGACACCCCCAACAAGCAACGTATTAACCGTTTCCAAGCGACACGGCTCACGCGCTGAAGATGCCCACGTTAGTCTCAGTCTATGTGTTTGTTTTGTTTCCTACATTGACGGTCAATCATTGACGCCTGCCTGAAACCATCCGAATGTAGGTACCTGGAACCTCCAACAACCCCCACCTCTCTGGTGAAACGTGAGTCTACTCTGGTGGCGATTGAACAAGCACAGTCCCGTACGAGTAAGATGCAAGTCAATACCACCAAGTCACATGTCGCGGTGGTGTGGCTCGTCCCATCCAGTGAGTGGATCATAGACACCCCTAGCCCCGACTACCTCCAAGTTCAGCACCCCGTCTTGTGACTAACCAGTCCCATGGAGAAAACGAAACCCAGGTCCCATGGAGTCCAGCCCCGTCGCTCTAGGGCCCCGAACCGCCCCGCTTCTGCGGTGTCGGCCGAGGTTCGCGGCGATGCCGGCGGCCCAGGTGGAGCCCGATGTGGTGACCTTCAACACGACGCTGAGTGGCCTGGAGCGATGTGGGTGCCACCGGTGACCAAGGAAGGGGAAGTCGTAAGAGCCAAATACATGGGTAGTCGAACAAAAGAAAAGAACACCCCATCAAACCACAACTGGGCAAGAATGAGACAGGTGGTAGAGATATGTAGAGATACCCTCCCTACAAGCATGGAAGTGGAGAGTCCCATGTTTGTAGAGGAAACTGGGCTTGCCAGGGGCCTACGTTCCGCTTCCATAAGTGTTTCAGGGAGTTTGCAGGACCAGAAGTCTTTTTTTTTGTTCAGTGGCTTTGGTGTCCTGTGGCTATTTGCAAGAATTTCCGGCAGAGATAGCTTGTGATGAAGATGCTTTGGATGTGGACGGGGGTACTCGTACTGCCAGGTTCATGCTGCTTCACCACTGTCTACTGAGTTCGCGTCGTGTTTCTGTTTCATCCTGAGATCCTTCCAGCCACGACTCTTGCCTGACCGGTGCTTAGCAAGGAATGAGGGAATGGATCCTAAAGTATCTATAGTGAGGGGTCCTTCCTTTACTCTATGTTATTCTCTACTAAGCACCAGTAGGGTGCCGTCGCACGTCCATGTCTACTTTTCACTTCCACCGTCTTCGCACCGAGCGCAGCTGCAGGCGCAGTGGAGCCTCTTGGCGTCATACGTGGCGATGCGTCGCTCAGGCGTGGGCTGGTCGCGTCGTTGGTCGATCCGCGTGGTGAGTGGCAGACATGGATCCCGGTCCGGTCTGAGGTTTCGTGGCAGCTACTTCAGAGAGAGAGGGAGAGATAGAGAGAGAACGGTATCCCAACGCACTTAAACAGTTCAGATGAAAGTAAGACAGAGAACAGTACATTCTGTCAACATGAACAGTGGTTGACATGGTGTTCTGAACTGAACCTTTGTTTGCGTTTGACTGGGGTGATTCTCAAAACTATTTTGATATGCTCACTTGCAAGGTCTTTTGGATGGCTTTGTTGACGCTGAAACTGGGTGCAGCACCGTCACGGTGTGATCCATGCTTTTTGCATCAATCGTTTCATTGTGCGCATGTCGAGCCAAGGAAAGGGGCTGCCCATTGGCAGTTCGCCTCAGCCTTGTTCGAAGCCATGCCAGCGGCAAACGTTTGCCCTGACTTGATCAGTTTTAACTCCGCCATCAGCAACTTGGTCCTGAGATTCACACAAACCTGCACACAAATCTGGGATGTCACAAACTCATGTGGCAGTTACTCCTTGGGTGGCAGCTTACTCCTTGGGTGGTGACTCATTGAATAGTGCCTGTGCAGGAAGAAAGTTGTCTTCAGTTCTGCATTTTGGCCAACCCTATAGACTTCTGTGGAGGCACTCTGTAAAGGAGGCACCTAGCGAAACTACTAGCCGGTTGTTCCTCAGCACCCGAGCAACACGTTGAAAAACACAATGAATGCAGGGTCCAGGACTGGAACTTTTGTCCTTTTTGGGGTACATGTTTGCTGGTGTTTCCAGGTATTTACAGGATTCTCCAGTGGTCTCCAGAATGCTGCCCACATGAAGTGATTGATTCATATATAGAAATGGGTTGCATGTGCAGGTAAAGCTGCAATTATGTTGTTTACGACTGACTGTGCCCCTTTTACCTGTTTGTAACTCAGAGCATGATAATACGAATGACAGCAGTGACACCCAATACAAGTTTTAACTAGAGAGGATGTCAATGTCTATTTTGGGAGACACCACAATAAGATCTTTGCATCTTGTGGCGAGGTGCAACAACTGAGGTTTGTGCGAGAAGTTTGGCGTTTGGATGCAAGCACTGGGCTTTTGGCGTGCCATGACCACCCAGCAGGATGGGCTGGCAGACCCACGGCAGATTTGTCGCATGGACTTTCAACATGTTTTGCTGGTTGGAAAGTTAACACATGATTTACACAGCTCATGGTGATTTGGACGCACTTCACACACATGCACCGCCCCCTTCATACAACCTAAAGACCCCAGAGGTCAAATGCTCAGAAAGCTGCATTTCTATCAGACCTATATCAACCACCAAGCAGGGGGGCAAACAAATCACCGCCGCCGCAACCTGGCCTCCTCAGCAACAAGGATCATCAACAGCCACCACCCTGCAACAGCCGGTTCATGTTTGGTTTACATTCCCTGAAGCGACGCTTTGTTTCCTGCCACCGTCTCCAGACCCATTTGGACTCTATGAATATTTGACCAGGGAGCCAGGGAGTCCTTTGGGTTCCATGGTCAGCCTCCGCGATGAACGTTGGGACGAACAAGAAATTGGTGACAGAAATGCTACTACTAACTATAACTATCTCAAATTCATCCTCCGTATGAGCACATCTTGAGTGAAAACAGGTGCCTGGATCGAATTCGATTCCGCCGTTGCTTTGGCCCCGCGGTGTCCCCGCACAGATCGCGGCGGATGCGGTGACCTTCGGCGCACTGCTGAGCGCGGCCGAGAAGGCGAGAGTTCCCGCGGGCGCCGAGGTGCCGAGGACAACCCGTTCGTAGCGTCCGATCGCTCCGTTCGTAGTAAGGCCAGGAGCCCCGTTCGTAGCGTCCTCGTTCCTATCAAAAAAGATTCATGTTGCTGCGCAGACTGTGCCCATGGACCCCGACGAGTCACCAATTGAAGCACTCACCTTGTGACTCAAGTCTTGCGTCCCTGATCATTCGTCTTGGCCTTGAGCGTCTCCCTCTAGCGAAAGAAGACGCTGACGGCGCACCCATCGTGCCAGGCCTTCCAGTGGCAACGGGCACTGGAGATTTTTGCAGCGATGCCTGCGTCCAAGGTGCTGGGAAGCGATTCGCGCAGGGTTGAAGCGAAGCGAAGAGATAAAACAAGAACATGTATTACCCACGATTCGTGGTACATGGACGCCAAATATTTAATTACGGATATAACTGTTGCAATAGACACCTTTTGGATGTTGCTTTTTTGGTTTGCAATATGTATGCTTGTTGGCCAATGACTATGCCCTATGTATGGTCCTTATTATATACAGCTTGTAACTTTGTGGAAGCAGTTATCTTCCAGCCGAAATGCATCGCATATAATCTCTAACACAGCCGTAGCTGGTCTTGCGCATGTTACGTTGAACGCATGTGTTCAACTAGTCAAATAGTTTTGCCATTGCAATTTCAGTCCTGTCTTGTGTGTGATTGCTTGTATTGTGGTTGCACGAGCCTCTTATTGAATTTATAAGTTTCAGCTTTGCCCTTACCCTATACAGCAGAAAGCCCGCTCCCAAAAAGTACCAGGCATGGTTACATTCCTCCACGCAAGCAAGGCTTTCATGATTCATGATAACAAACTATGCTTTAGAAGCGCTGCTGGGTTGGATCAGTTTCTTGTAAAAGGAACACTATAAACTGTTGTTACCCGTTTGTTGAAGGTAGCCTCGATAGCCAAATGACTTGGTAGCTACCTCAATGTCAGCTCTATAGCATCAAATACCGATACAACCACGGGACTACGCACGTCCTTCCATGTATCCAGGTTTGAGGCCAGACCAACGGTGATAGTTTGCCATGTGCTGCGAACAGCAGGTCGAGCCAAATCTTATTTGCTTCAACGCGATCCTGAGCAGCTGCGAAAACATGGGAATGTGGCAGGAGGCCCTCGTCTTGCTTGCGTGACTTTGAGGCACTGATCACAAGTGTTGTCAGTTGTTTTTTTTGCTGCGGACAACGATGTTCTTTTTCCACAAAGCAGGCAGGAGGATGGGTCACCACAATAAGGTTGTTTTGTATCATGTGTATCATGTTGTATCGTTATCACTGGCAAAAATGATGTATATATATGTCTCCACTAAATTTGGAGATGACAGTTTTCACCTGCTGGCAGGAATCTAAAACCTCCTCGATCTTGGCACAGGGATTCCAACGGGGCCAGTAATGTGAGTCGTTCTGTGTCACCCAAGCTTGTCTCAGGTGAATGTGCTCAAATTTTATTGTCTTTAAAAGTGCAGGTGCAAATTGCGTGCATGACATCAACAACAGTAGATATGTTGGCAGGTAAGTACTTGTCAGGAACAGTATTCTGCTAAAGACAGTGTCACACTTTCGTTGGAGAGCATCCGAGAGGGTGATTGCACAATGGAAATGTTCAAAGCTAGCCCTGTGGTGTGCAGAGAGACGTCGTGGGTAACCAGGTTGGTCCCCTGCTTTTGAAGTGCAATGCTCCCCTGACTGACGGGTGAGGTCCTTGATGCAAATGCGTCTTGCTCCTGACTTCATCACCTTCAATGCAGTGTTGCGCTCCTGTGAGAAGCAGGTGCACGTCCTGGCAGACATGTGGATCAGCTTGACGGTGTTCGTAAGGTGCAGTTGGTTGGTTGCTTTGTCGGACCATGTTGGACCTTTGGTTGTTCATTGTAATAGTACCGGTGTTTCTGGTGGGAACTTCACACTACCTTTTGAGCATGTGAGCATGGGCATGGGCTTCTGCTTTTTATCATTTGGAACTAGCCAAACACCGACAGAAGAGGCACCCCGCAAACCTGCTCGAACTAGCCATTCTTAGATATTTCAAGCAATCCAGTCACAATCAGGCGGTGTTTCTTGGTCAAAGGGTCTGCTGCTTTGGGGTCTGAGTGTGTATTTTTCGACCGGGAGACCCCCGATGGCCCGCTGGCTGGGTAGGTTGTGGGTCGTCTCCGGTGGTCGTTCCCGAGGCCCATACAGGAGACGACCCATGGCATGCCCGGTACGGTCGTCCTTGGAACGTCCTTGCCCGGTTTGCCGTGGATTGCATGGCTCCGATGGCGGATGACTGTATCAATCTGTTTCAGCCATTTTCAGCCATACATCCGAATCCCAAACAGGGGGCGAACTCGACTTCCATGTCAGTTCCTGGATGTTCCACGGATTATATCGTGTTTCGGCCCAAGAACATACCCTGCCGCCACTCTCACCAATCCTAGTACAATATCCAAGTGCTGAGTACCACCGCCTTCTAATAGCCGTCCCATTGGGAGGCTGCAGGTCTTCTCTTCCACTCATCGCTTTGATCTACTCCTTGTAGAAAGAGGACCACACAGGAACATGGTCGATTCTCAGAGAGGCCCTTGGGGGTCGATGATCGTCGGAGACTGAAGATGGAGAGGGCGTTGAATCACCAACTCTGCGCAGAGGCGAAATGGCCGGAAGCACTGCATTTGTGTCGAATGACTCAAGAAGCGGAGGTGGCAGACACGACGGCGGTCAACGCCTCCGGGCAGCAGGTTGTTTTTGGGTTTCCTGATGTTATTTTTGTTTGCACCTAGAAGGTGTTTTCTTTTTTTTGGGGGGTACTGCAGACCACTCAAAAGGCACCTGGCGAGCTGCCTGCGAATCGGGATCCAAAAAATTCCACCAGCTTCCTCAAACCTGGCCATTGGGATCTTGAATTCACCAACTCTTGAATTCAAAACTCCTTTTTGTTCTGCTCGCCTTGGATCGGATTGTTTGGGCAGGCCCTAAGCGGGTTCACTTGGGCGCTCCAGCCTCGGACTGCTGCTAGCGAAGCTCCCAAGCTGTGGGATTTTGGGAGCTGAGGGACTCTCAAGTGAAAACAATAGTAACAAGTGCATCGCTACTAGTAGCTTCTTGTTACTAGTAACAGTAGTGATGCACTTGCTACTATACATATATATATATAACTATATATGGTGTAGCTTCTTGTTACTATGTTTTCGCTCAATCGGAGATTCCTAAAGTAGTGCAGGGTAGCTGAAATGCTACCGATGGTCCTAGTTCCGTCGATCTGGCGACGCCTCCCCCAATCTGGACTGGTGCTTTATCACCTGGACTGCATGGCGTCATAATTCTTGAAGTTATGTGTGGGATGCCTTGTTTTAGCTGTACCTGTCGAGGGCAGTGCCTCACCCTTGAATCATAGAAGAATGTTCGACTTTGTTCTTGTAATTATATTAAGGGACCTTTAAGTAAGCTTCGTCCTCTACTGTTATTTGGTCAGGGCAATCTTCCAAATCTGCACATCCTCCAAGCGCGCACGCTTGCGCGCCGAGGCCACCATCGGCACCTGTGATAAGGCCTCGCAATGGCGATGGGCCATCCATTTGTTGTTCAACATGCAGGCCGCCCAGTACCACCCGCGCAGTTGGGATTTCGCGATCGAGGCCTGCCTACGGAGTGGCATGTGGCATGCTGCACGACATGTGAGAGCTGCGAGAGGGAGGTTGGGCTGGGCTTCTGACTGAGGGCGCCCTGTTCGCCTTGCAACATTGGAAGCGTCATTTTTGGCGGAGATGCTGGTGCCTCAAGAAACACCTCCGGGAACTGAGCCTTCAGATGAACACCTTGGTCACCTCGAGACGCGAAAGCAAGAGCTTTCAACGCTTTGAACAACAAAATCCGTTGAAGTAGATATTTTTTTTGCGTTTGAAGGTGTGCAAGATCAGATGCAATGACAATCATCCGGCTGCTTTTGCCTTGGTCACCTGCTTGTGTGGTGGTGGAAACTTGACATCAAAAGTCGGACCTCAGAAATACATCCCTTGGAAGGGTCGACCGCATGTGGTGTCTGAAATGGCCAAGTGGCCAAGTGGCCCACGACATATGTCATCAAGGGACCTCGTTGGATCTGTCCTTCCAAATAATGAGCACACATTGTCACACAATGAGAATCTCGTCAGTTGTGGTTTGTGTTTTTCCAGTGAGGTGGGCAGGATGTTAACGGCTTGGAGAGATATGATATGTAATACAATTATCATGTGGACCATGGTCAAGATTAGCTGTTTCCCCCTTACTTACGAACGGCGCCTGCGTGCCAATGGACTACGGCGCCTGCGTGCCAATGGACTGGCGTGCCAATGCCGACTGGCATGTGATGTGGGAGTATCCAGGGACCGGTGACCCAAGGTACAAGTATCAACCAGTCAAACCTCACATGTTCGTCGTTTGTACCAGAGGAGAAGCCAGGAGATGCATGCCTGGGCAGGTGATACCCCCACCCGCACTCTCTGCCGCACCTGGGCTCAAGCTGGGCTCAATTTCGGACTCAGCCCATGCGCGCGAGTCCGGCGGCCTGGCGCTGTGCCGCAGCACGGCCGTCGTGTACGAGAATTCAGGTGACTTGGCCGATTCACGTCGCGTCGCGTGAAGCATCCGGTGGGAAGCATCCGAGGCGTTCATCAACTGAGGGTGAACCAATAAAATGAGAATGGCGTTGCAGACTTTTCAGAGAGGCTCAGGCATTTGTGTAGTGTTCGGATCAGTGCTCCACTCAAGCAAATCAGGACACAGAAACTATAGGCCGACCTCTCGAAGCAGGCAGTGCTTTGAGGAGTCAGATCCACCAAACACAGGTTGAACTGTTCGGGGAGGATAGCAAAGGGCAGTCTGAGTCATATACTGTATGCAGTCATGCCGTGTTCTTGTTCTTTCATATTTTATCCTTCGAGATGGTTGTTGCTGCCGTCCTTTTTAAACTAGTTATAGGAATGAAGTTTTTAAACTCTAGCTTCCTACCAGAAAGGGGATCAAATATGTTTGCATTCCAACTTCGAAGTTCTTACCACACGGTTTCCTCGACAGAAAGCACACTGTGAAACATTGTGAAACCAGGTGAAACTCATTGGCCGTGTGGTCCCATTGCGTCACTTTGAGACTCCTTTGGCCGACCTGTAATGCATGGAAAACCACTGATATATCAGGTGCAGTCGTCACCAGGGCAGCCTGGATGGAGAGCGCAGAAGCTGCCGCTTGGAAGAGATGCGGATTCAACATTGCCTTTCTGACTTGTTCGACTCTTCAATTCCTCAGCACTGTTGCTTTCGTAGGATTTTTAATAGATCCATTAAATTTATCCTTTTGTTGGAGTAGAGAGCTTCCGTATGCCACGATATGCCAGGGAGGTTCAAGTTTTCAGGTATTCCTCTCATTGTGGACTCTCCATCTACTATGGCCTCTTCCCCATCCTTCCCAATAATATTTCCTGGTACTTTTAACACGCCGAAATCGGAGACTTCTTCTCATTCCTTGGCTTCGAGGAAATCCTTGAGCCGGGCGGATCTCATTTGGACCACCTTGGAGCAATGGCGCCTGGAGGGGCAACGCCTCGACCCCCGCGGCTCGATTGAGACCGGACCCGCGTCGCGTTCCAACGGGGGGACGGTGGGGAAATCAGAGACTGCTTGGGCCGGGCGAAGAAAAGGGGCAGGTCGCAGTGTCACCATGCGAGGCAAGGGGAGGTTGTTTGAGTTGTTGTGGCCAAAACAACAAGGCAAGCGTAAGGCGTAAGAACCGCAAAATGTTCACTGGTGTTGAGATCGGCATCGATTGAGAAAGCCTTACAGTTCAAGGGCATGAAGCCTAAGTCCATGGTGCTTCCTCAAATCCAATCCATCATGACCAGATGATTAGCTGGTGCTCCTCGGGTCGCCGAGAGTATCCAGTTCTTCCCCCGGCAGGGAGCCGTTGGGAGTGACCACGGCCTCACCCCTTGGGCGGTCGATGAGTAGCGTCCGTTTGGTCTTCGAGATCGATGCGGGCCATCCCTATGTCGACGTTTGGGAGTTGACCATCCGTGAGGGACGTTGCGGATGTCATCGGATGTCATGTGGGGTATGCTGGCCACTTCTCCTGATTTCATTCAACCGATGGTGAGGGGAGTTATGAAATACTTCGACCCAGTTGTTCCACAGGCTGCAGTCCCTTTTCGTCGTTGACCCTTGGGGTGTTGGGTGGGAGCCTAGTTCGATTTGACCAACTGCCTTGGGAGAAGCCGTCAGTCGGAGGGTAATGTTGGATGCGCAGCCCCACTTTTCTTCCTCCGAGGCACCTATACCGTGGGAATCTCCTCATGTGGAAGGCCGGGGTGCTGGCAGCTGCTGATAGGTGCACATGTCGCACACCCTCAGCACTGGCTAGGGGATAGTTATATTCGTTCAGGGGGGGGAACTTTTTTGATGGTTCATTGCTGCTTCGAGAGGGGAACTTTGTTTTTAGTCAGGGACCGGCAAAAAATAAGTGAAGACAGTGATTTTAGCTGATGTTTGTAAGGTGTCCGTAAGGTTTGCCGTAAGGATGTGCAAATTTGAACCGTGCCGTAAGCAACATTTGTTTTACTTTGATTATTATTCCTTTCCTGTTTTGCAACAGCATACCACATGTGACCACAGGGGACTTGCATACCTCTGCCGTAAGCACAATTTAAGAATAGCCATGCATACATGTGCCACCGTAAGCAAAACACCCGGTGTTGACCAATATGACATACCATGACTACCTCAAATCACTAAATTCATGATGCTCAAGACTACCCTCATGATCCAATTGAAGATCTCCATGTTCTATGACACGATATACATATACATAGTGGGTTGAGAGTAGATGGCACAAGGGCCCCCAATGTCGGTGGTATATATATGGAGCTCCATCTCAACGGCATTTTCGGGGGCCCCGGGGCCATCGGTTTCCTCTGAAAACCACGGTAACTGGTCGAGTAACTACGTGAAGCCGTGAAGTGTTCCTTTCTTGGTCACAGTGCCACAGTGATCCATTTGAAGATCCCCATGATTATCCATGATTATATTGTATATACCGAAGTCCAAAGACTATCATATAAGTAAAGGAAGCTCCAATGCACCCTAAAGACATTGCCCCAGGAAGCTCTGATCCTCTCCACCCGAACCACGCGGCGGCCGCGTGTCATGCAGCACCATGCGTGCCACCGACCCTGCGAGGTTGGCCAAATGGCCTTTCGCCGTAGCGCTCCTGGCATCGATGCCCAAGGCAGAGGCATCGGCTTGTCACCGCGGAAGGTGGACGGCCACACTGCGCTGAAAACGGTTTGAACAAGAGAAGACGAGGTCGGTTGGCATGGTGGAACACTCTCAAACAGCAGGTCTTTTGCTCAAGTTCCAGATGGACTAAGTTTTGTTGCTTAGGGTATGAGTGAATCCCCTTCTGGGGAAAGATTGTTTCATTGAGCAAATCCAAGATGGATTACCAAGATTTCAAGAGCGTTCTCCTAAACTGCTGAGCTTGTCAGGTGCAACCAAATGCCTTCAGCTATGCAGCAGTCATGGCGGCCTGTCGAAGGGCGCAGGACTGGCAGGTGCCTGTCAGATTGCAGTGTGATTGATTGTAGAGTCTCCTCAAGTACAGAGTCAACGAGTCTATGAGAGTCTTTGGATTTACATGATTCACTCTACTGTCTTCGCGATATGTTCGCGATAGATTCACACTCACCTCCACTGGCTCCTGGCTCCTCGTTCGTTTCCTCCCTCCTTTGGGCAGGTGGCCCTCAGCCTTTTGGATGAGATGCAGGCGGGCCGCACTTGGACCGGTCAGACCGGCCGGCTAGACCGGCTGAAATGGCACACACGACGAAGACATGGATGGATATGTCTACCATGATTCATGATGGTAAATGAGTAGTTATTCCAGTCCCATGGATGGCATGGGAAACAGAGTTCTTTGTGCTTTCTGAGGGTTGGTACCTGGGGTTGTCTTTTGGTTTCAAGCTCCTGTGGCTGGAGAGCGACATCTCAAAGTCGGAACAAGCGTTTGAGCTACAAGTGATCCTCCTTGCGGATGTTCTGCTCTCATTAGGGCAATTTTCAGGCTATATATATATATTTATATGTGTGTGTGTGTGTTTGTTCCAAAAAGATACTGTAGAATATTCCCCCTGAGCCAAGTCGAGTCTGGGTAGAAAAGGGTAGGCCTGTTGTTCTTCCTCTTTAAGATATGACAGAACCCTCCCCTCTCCTGGCGTGTCCGGACCTGCCTTTCTAACGGCAGGTAGCTGAGGTGCAGCCCAACCAGGTGTGCTTCAACACGGCCATCAGTTGCGCGGGTCGATGGTTCATGGCAATCCACTTGCTGGAGCAGATGCCCGACACACTATGGGCCAAAAGCCCTGGGCGTGCGGAGGGGTGTTATTTTTTGGGTGTCTTTGAAGGTGGCGGTTTTGGGGTTGCAGAAGGGGATTGTGTGTGTGTGAAGATGGTTGCATTCTGCTTGGAAAAGTGAGTACACCTCGAGAAAGGAAGTAGCAGGACAACTGGACAACTGAAGAGCTGAAGGAAGATGTTTCTGGAAGCTTCTTTGGTATGGATACAACAGCCCAAAATTCACCAGAAAGGCTTTGACAACAGACTCCAGACTATCCCTCCTGGAGGATGTTTTTGTTGTCCAATCAAGGCTTACTACAGTTATTGAGCGACACGTTGCCCTGCACGACCTGACATACCCCAGAGAGTTTACAACGCTTGACAGGCGTACTTTGCTTGAACCTGATTGTGGCACTTGTCCTTCAACACGCAGAATGATTTGGTGAGATTGCAGTACAATAGTGCATGATCGTACTATGTCTAGAGGAGATAACTACGACCGACGATTACTGCAAGGCAAGAACCCTCCAACAACTGACACGGCATAAACGTTCCATTGTCAATTTAATCGCATCTAATCCATGGGTCCATGACCTCAAACTAGTTTGGTACCCTTTTAATGTTGTTCCACACGTCATATTTCTCCTGAAAGCCCTAGCTGAAATCATGGCATCACCCACCTGCGTCGACACAAAAAACTTCGCCGCAGCGCTAGGATGCCACAGTGCGATGTGATCAGCTTCAATGCTGCCATGAGCTTATGTGAGTGGCATCAGGCCCTGCAACACCCAGCTTGGCATGATACAGCGATTTCAGATGGCACAGATCCCATGATGTCCTTTAGATGGGGGTCCATATAAAGCACGGACATCGGGGGATTGAATTGTGCCATTCAACTCAATCCGCTTTCTATAGATCGCTGTTGGTTTGGCCACCAACAAAAACGATGTATGACTGCAGACTTCCGGAATAAGAAAAACTTTCTATTCTGGTGCTTTTTTTTGCTTTCCCGTGGGTGACAATCATAGAGCATTCCAGGTGTTGCTTGAATTTCTTCGCTTTGGAGACCGAAGACACCAGATGAAAGAACACCCTGAGAAGGAATAGACCAGTCTCTTCAAACCAGTGTAGGCAGACCCTTTTTGTCAATGGGTTGGGATCTCACCAAAAAAGTACTTATCAGCACCCCGGTCTGTAAATGCTCACACTGAAATCTCAATGTTTGGCCAACCAGTGTTGCACCGACCTAGTTTAATGTCAAGAATGAAATCGCCGACAACCGCCGTGTAGAAGTGACAGTCTACATGCATGTATATATGTTCGTATATTTTCCAGTGGTTCGCAGGTCTTTAATCACAGACCAACGCATAAGAGGCGTCTTAAAGGAATAGATTTGGATGCCCAGCCAACGAACATGTCCAGGGCTGCAGTCCTCAAAGGCTTATCGTGTTGCATTTCTCGTCGGTTGGAGTCCACCTTCCCTCCTCGCAGGCCATGCTTTTGTTCGAGGCAATGCCTCAGGCAGAAGTCTTGCCTGATGCTTAGATGCAATGCAGTCTGCTGATTTATTGAAGGATCTATATACAGTGGCATTCGTTGCCGCCCCCCAGATGGAAGACAATGTTCCTCTACAAGCAAGAGTCCACCTTCCTAAACAAAATAGAAACCAGGTCCGCGGAGGGAGGATTTATACAACGTTTACAACCTGGTTCGGTTACCTGCATCTTGAACCATCACAACTCCAAGTGAGTTGCTACTAGTGGGTGATCGGATGAACGACACTCGACGCTGTGGGATGACGCTGGTGGCGATCCTTAAAGCACATCCGAACCATCACAGCCCCTGGCAGGATGGAAGAAGAGACTTTTACAGTATTTGGATAAGACCTGAGGGGAATTGAACTGTGGCACCTGCACATGACCCCTCTTTGCCCAGGATGTGATTAGCTTCAACTCCACCATTTCTGCCTGTGAGAAGGGTCATGAATGGCCCACCGCTTTGGCACTCTTCGAGCAAATGCCTGAGATGCAGGTACAGGCCAGGATGGCAAATAGGCACAGACTCACACAAGGTCCGACTATTTACAGTGTCTCACATGGGGGTTCCAAGTCTTGTTTGGCAGTTCTCCACGTTCTCTGCGGGTTCATGGTGCTATGCCTGCTGCGCACGTCGCAGAGTTCCTGTGCGAAGGCAGACCTCATCACCTTCAACTCCACCATGTGACTCAACTGAAGTGCGAGACTGTGGGCAATGAGGACAAAGCACAAACTGTCAGGGCATTCCTGGGACACATCCATGCAAGCTCGACATGTAAGATGAACACCACTTCTTTGTGGAGGAAGGGTGTTTCTGACTTTTTTTGTCCATGTTTCTTCTACAAGGGCGGTCTTGCTCAGATCATGTGCTTTTCTCTTTGCATTCCTGTGGTTGGCATTCCCATTTCCTTTTACAAAGCATAGTCACTGGCATGTGACCCGACCGTTCACCATCGGTGTCGATATTCGATACTTGGTTTTCGAACATACGACCTGCAACGATCCAAGGAGTGCGCTGGAGAAGGGCTCTCAATGGCAAGAGACCTTGCATTTCTATGGGCACATGTCCAAGGCTCAAGTCCTGCCGGACACCTGGCTGATGTATGTAGTACACAGATGCACACAGATGTTTCAACCTCCAGGCCCATCCACGCCAGGGTGCTTTACTTAGCCTGCACTGCTTCAAGCCCTTGATTCTTTGCGGGGTACATGGGACTCGGGTTGACTCGGGTTGATGAAGCTAATCAACTGGGTAGGAGACTGAGGCAACTCCGAATCCAGGTGAGGGGGTGAGATCAGCTTGCTGGGTGAGGTGGTGGTACCTGGGTCCTTCCGTTGGGACATGCTGGGACATGTTACAGTAAAAATACTCGAACCTTCATGGTATTGATATTGTCTTAGCTTAGACTATGTCAGCTCCAAACATCCAATGTTCCAAGCCTCACCTGCCCCAATCGCCCATCACCGCAACCAAATCGGGAAGCCATCCATTGCTTGGAAGGTGAACCTTTGAAGGTGGAGGAGGTAAGCAGGCTGAGAACTGATGGACATAAACAGCTAGGGTAGTACGTCCCTATGTGCCTGGCTTCATTAGAGATGAAAGAGAAAACCATTTCCTTTGTTCCTGGGGCATAGAAAAGCCAGAGTTGCCTCAGCGTGGTTTCTGCACGACTTTGCTGAGGACGTGATTAGCTACAGCGCGGGAATCAGTAGCTGTGAGCGGTCGCAACAGTGGGCTGCAGCCTTGGCATTGTACACGGCCATGGAAAGGCAAGAGGTCAAGGCGGACGGCATTAGCGCCTTGGCCGACCACCAGTTTGTAGCTGTGAAGACTCTTGGCAAGATTCGCCAATCTGGTCTTGTGGGTGTCTTTTGATTGACGTTTCACCACTTGGCGCTACTACTACCCTATGACACAAGTTGGCTACCTCTATGGATCCGTTCATGTTCGCTCCAGATGCTCGGACCCTGGTCGTTCGGGAGTGGACGTGACCGGTGTCCACACACCTCGGACGCGCGCGGCACCCCACAGCACAGCTCGTTTGGGGGGGTGCCCCCACAGCATTCGAAGTGAGTGGCTTTTCACCACTGTCTCGCACAATCTCTTGGTGAGGCAAAATGATGATACACGAGGCTAGGCTAGGTGGTTGGGGTGCAAGGAAGAGAACTTCCTTAGGGTGTGTTTGGCCACTACACGCTGAGGCTTCAACGCGCTGATGAGCTCATTCAAAGATGCTGGAAGGTGGCAGGATGCTGGGCCTGGGCTGGTGGAAGAAGCAAAGCGATGAGGTTCGTTCCCCCAACATTTGGATTTTGTGGGTATGATAGAGACTTGATGAGTGCAACAAGTGTATATATATATATATAAATAATAACCTTAGTTCTGGCATTTGATGGGTGGAGTGTGTACAAGGTTTTCGGCCATCCAGCATGCTGTTTAAGCAGACAGATAGTGAGACAGTGGCAAGTTTGCACCAGCTGGACTGCGCCTTAAAATGCTGAATCATTTCTGCAAAATTAAAATTGAAGAGTCTCACAGTCAGACCTCTAAACCAAAGGAGTCTTTGGAGCAATACCCTATTTGAGACGTGCCCATACATACGCACAAAAGGCTTTATGTGAGGGACACCTTCAAAACAATGATGCCAACAAATATAGGGATCATAGGGTCACCAACGCATTTCTCAGCGATTTGCCAAAAACACAAATTTATGAAAGCAAACAAAACAAAGGCGACAACTGAAGGGCGCTTTCGTTCAACTTTGTGATGCAGTTGCTGACACCTTTGTGATGCAGTTGCTGACCCGCCCTGCTTGGCCTCCATCGAGGAGGTTCTGGAGCTTTTCGAGTTGATGAAATCACAGCTGCAGCCGGTTTCACTGCTGAGCTACGTTGCCGTGATGAGTGTTTGTGGGAAGAGCGGCCAATGGCAACAATCCTTGCGCTTCTTCGAAGAAATCCCCAAAGCACAAGTGCAGCACAGTGTGGTTTCTTGGCACCTTAAGGATCGGCCTCCTGGTTTCAGTAGAGGGGACAGTCGACACTTGTGAAAGTGGAGCTACTCTTGGACGCTAATTAATGCATTTGTTCTATCGCTAGGGAGTGGGCGCTTGCAGGACGCTTCCTTCCTTTTACCTTCCACGATCGAATCCATTGGGAAGTGGCAGCATGGATCTATTTTGATAAATAGACAGGCAGATACCCGGCGCGGGGCCTGTTCCACTCAAGCATACATGTTGTTGAGAGAGGGTGGATGGATTTTCTGTCACAAGCCAGTCCTCCCCCTGTCTGGCGGCCTGGCGCTTGTGACCGCGTGCTACCAAGGCCCAGACAGCCGATTCTTCCTGGTTAAGACAAGAAGGTGGTTTGGTTAAGATATCAATTACACTCTGGCTCACTCACATGAAAGTGGAAAATCAATGAACCCGGTCTCTGGGAATTTGTGTCCTTTACAGGCAGAACAAGCCGTCCACTGCCGATGTTGTTCGTCTATGTCTATGTCTCTAACAAAGACCCTGGCACATCACTACCGACCTGCGCAGGTCAGCTACAACGCAATGATCAGTTCCCTTGAGAAGGTGGGTCAATGGCTTCAAGCCCTCCACTACTTCGAGTTCATGTTGCTTGGTGTCCACGGCTTGGCAGAGGTGTGTGTTTCTTTCCGGAGCAACTATAATTATGTTGAGATCCTTTTTTTTTCAAGTCTTGGGCTTGTCCCGAAACTTCCATTGATGGATAATTAGCATAGAACCATAGCCCAAGATGTTTTCCTTTATCTCTACTATGTGAGAGTGAGGTACTGTATTGAAGGAAATTGAAGGAAAAACATTGAAGTTACCCAGTACTGGGTGCTTTTGCTATTGCTCAATTCTTTACCCCGCCCAAAAAAGATCTTTTGGCTCCAAAGTGATATTTAATTTGAATAAGGATTGGCACAGTCTTTGATTCTGTTTGCCAAGAGTTGTGGGGTGGACAACATAACAGCCTAAACCGCTTATGCTTGTGGATTGTCTTCCGCCCCCCGTAGACGCTCAACCGCTGAAGTCGGACCGCTCCACCGAGGTGCTCTTCAGACCTTCAGCCGAGCCTGGTGAGTTTCAACGCCATGATCAGTGACCAGCCGCGATGAGTTGCGCTGCGCGTGGCCTGCGAGTTTTTTCATGTCATGTTAGGCGATGAGTGGCAGGAGATGATCAGAGGATCTTGCATTTTCAAGAAAGACTACATGAAAAGTCACCGTTGATGTCCTCTGGCAGGAGTGTAGAAGACCATGGAACAGCGGATTCCATTATATATGATATATGACGAGTACGGGAATTTACCCCAATGGTGTCCACGCGAACACCTTTTGTTCCGTGAGAGTCATTCTCAGATGCCGCTTGACAAACACACCCAGGTTCCTTCGAGAAAGGCGAGCAATGGCAGATGGGCATTTGTTTTCTCCAGATGATGCAAGCATCTTGCAGCAGAATGATTAGCGCTTGTTTTGCAGTACACGACAACATTAGTTTTTTGAACTAATATTTAGATGCTGCTGAGGGCACGCTCGGGTGCGCAAGTGTGATGATGAACTAAAATTTAGAGTTGATATTAGATACTCTCAGAAACTCCTGAACACCCGAAGTTGCCGATCGGAAAGCCGGTTATGCGATCTTCCCGATCTTCCGAGTGCAGGAGTGTTCCATGATATGATATGTTTGTATTCTCATGCGCCAACATTTTGGACTGGACAGTGACTTCGGGTGAATTCTGGGTGTCCTTCTGTTTCTGATGCTATCAATGGACTCCAAGAGCAAGACTTGCTTGCAACCGTTGAGTTGAACGGGTGAGTCAACTAATCTCTCTCCGTGGACTGGTTTTTGCACGGTCACGGGTGGAGACATTGAGTTCCCAGATGTTTGGAGACTCCGCGGAGACTCGTCGTCCCTAAGGATTTGGAGATCCAGCCTGACATATTTAGCTTCAACGCTCTCATCAGTTGCTGTGAGAAGGGAGGCCATTGGCAAACGGCCTTAAGCTTCTTTCAATCGATGCTAGAGGCAGCAGTCCAACCCGTGGTCATCAGTTGCCAGGCTTTGCGAAGTTCAATGTAGGAACACTTCTCGGGGCAATAAGGCCTGCAAAGTACGGGTGTTGGCTCTAAGGGATCAGTATACGTGTTAATCATGTGTAGTGCAGACAGGCTTTGGGCCTGATGGAATGTGTGAGGGCTTTTGGAACATGAAGTGTTGATCTTGTTGTTCTGCCATATAGCTGCCAAGCGTGTATTGAAAGCACTTTGTAGGCATGTTGGAACCACTAGTCGATAAATTAATCTCGATTCACAGGTAGCTGAGCTGCAGTTGCCAAAGAGTGGTTGTGAGATTCGTTGATGGTTGGTACCATAGATTGGTACCCAGAAAACCTTGTCCAGTTGACGTAGTTGCCATGAAGAAGGATCCTCTTCTGCGGAATGGCGATTTCATCATATTCCATCGAAACTGGATCAGTACTCGTCGGAGACACCTTGACAGTGCCATCAAAGATCGGTTCGGCGGACGTGGCGGAACTGGTCCTCACACTCGAGGCTATGGTGCTTTGATCAGCGCCTGTGAGAAGGCCTCGCAGTGGGAAAGCGCTTTGCAGCTTTTCGAGGCAATCCCAAAGGCCCAGCTCAGGTGTGCACTGGGTGCGATGAGGAGGGATGGAGCTGGGCTGGAGCTGGGAGCACAGATGGGGTGTTAATCAGAATTGGGGTGGGTGCCTCTCAGTGAAGCCTTTGCACAGACAGCTGGGTGGCTGGGTGCCTCTCAAAATCCTCTCAATGGATCTGTTTTTGTAAAAATGAAGCCATTGATGGACTTACCACTGTTTACAGCATCAACAAGCGGCACAGATTCATCCTTGTATCGCGGGGAACTCAATCACGGGAAAGTTTAGTACAAGCTTACCCACCCTTACTCAAATTGAAAATTGTTCGAACATTAATTATATACATATCGATGTATAATATATATATATATAAACTGAGCAAATCGTCATTGTCAAAGGAACAATCTTTTGCATGAAGGATTCCAGAAGAACATCGCCGGACGCTAGGCCCAGCACCACATCACTGAACGCCGCCATTAGCGCGTGTGCCTGGGACGACCGGAATGGACAGCCGGGCCGACCGTGTCACGGAGGACGTGTGTTTTTGTTGGAGAAGTTCTTTGGTAGCTTTTGGATGTGACAAAGCCTGACATACTCTGTTGGTGAGCTTGCATTTATAAGCAGCGTTCCATGAAACGCGAATGGGTGTGAGAGTACATGTCCTGAGAGGTCAAACAGAAATCTTGGAAGATGTTTTGTGCACATCTATCCACCTAAGTCCCAAGTAAGATGTCCCAACCGCTCATTTATCCTTATTCCACGCTCTTTTTGTGTCGGGTTCCCAACTGGGAATAACCATTGTTTCAGCCACCTGACAAGTTTAGTGATTTAGTGCGAAATTGATATGGGTCTGGGTCAAAACCTGGAGCCCCAAAACCTGAGTTCCTTGATTTCTCCACAAGTACCGCCGAGTTGTTGAGACACCAAGCTGTTTCAAGAGGACAAGAGGAAGGAACTTGTGTTTCCAGAAACCTGAATTCAAGAAAAACAAGCAAACAGGCGTCTCAAGTGACTCCAAATCAACAGCTTATTCCAGACATTCCATCTATTGGGTGTCACAAAAATACCGGTGTTTCTTCCTGTATGAAACGCGATCCTTCTCCTTTCCTCCGGAACCTTTGTCTCTTCAGGTGAGAAGGCCTTCCGATGGCCTGAATCCTTGAGCCTCCTCGTTGGGTCCGCGTCTTCGTCCCACGTGGACCTCATTAGCTTCAACGCGGCCATGAGCGGCTCAGACGTGGCCGTTGGATCCCCAAAGGGCGAAAGAACCGTTGATCATTTGATATCATGGGTCAGAAAGGACATATGACCTTTTTCCGGGCCTTTGTCCAAGCCTAACGAAACCTCCAAAATTTATGTTTATTTTAGTTCTCTTGAGAAACAGGGTTTGATGACGGCTTGCATGTCCACATAGGTCCGTGGTATTTTTGGGAATTGAAGGATTGTTCATCTTAAAGGACCAATCAGAAGAAAGGACAATCTCACCTTTTTATGACTATTTCCTAAGTCCTAGAGCAGCAATTGTGATGTGTTTGATTATATATGTCCTGTTGTTCTGGAAAAACATCCTGTGATGCCCACTTGAATCTGCTTCCAATATCATCGGATGTGCCTGCAAAGCACCAACAAGTGCCCCTAGGCGCCTGTGAGAAGTTCTCCCAGTGGCGCTGGGTCTTGCACCTTTGGAGCCACATCCAAGACACCACTTCCCAGGCGCCAGCGACGCCGAATGCCGAAACATCGAAGACTCGCTCGCTGAAGACTGCCCGGTGGAATGGATGGAAAAGGGTCCTTCGTTCGTCCGGAGCATGTGTTTTGTCTTACCAAACAGTACGTGCTCTCCTTTCCACGGAACCACGTAATCATGATTGCACAGGGGTGTGTCCTGACGACTTATTTCGTCAAATCACCACACCCACGGACGCAGCGCGCGGGCCAGGCCGCTGATCTCGTGAGCTATTGCACTGCCATCAGCACCGCAGCTGCCAGCGGGGGACGTCCGCATTCGTTGCAAATTCGCTTCAGTGGGACGTCGCTGCGAAGAGTTCGTCGATGCTGTCTGACCTCTGAGGCTCGTGTGACAAGACCTCTCACTGGCAGCACGCCTTGCTGCTCTTCATGTTGATGCAGAACGCTCGAATTCAAGCAAGTGATCTCAGCAGCTTGGAGGCATAGCCGGGCAGAGGTGCAAGATGGTGTCCAAAGACTCCAACCATAGACCGAACGAAGCCCTGGTTCCTAGTGGTTTGTCTGGGATCCACTGGGTTTGTGTAAGAACCAACGATTGATTTCTCTTGAGTTTGCTATTTATTCAAATGGCTTGAGAAAGTGAAAGCGCGTATGAGTTTATACAGTGGGAAACACCTTGACGCAGTTGTGTGGAGCCTCCTCCAAGTACACAACAAGCAAGCAGGCTTACCAGCTGTTTTCTCTTTTATATTGAGGCGTTTTTAGTCAGGACCCCTATCTCTGTTTTCACTTGCCTGTTTCCTTGGGAGCTTTAGGAAGCTATACTATGTGTAGAGCCAACTGTCAGTTGTGAGCATGGATGACCTCTAAAAGGTGTGCACTAGCTCAGTTCTTGGAACGTACTGTTGATTGTTGTTCAATCCATACGGGAAGCATTGTTTTTTCAATCAGGGCAACAGGTGGAGATATCCATTGCTTTTCCCGGTTTATCTAGCAATCTAATATTCTCGACATTTCTCGACATAATGATGCGTTTCACGCAAACTGAGTGTTGTTTCGTTCTGCCTATGCAAGGGGGATATCCGAAAATACATGAAAATACTCGTTTCGTTCTGCAGCATCGGGGAGCCACAAAAATTTGCTCCGCCACATCCGATGAGCGATGGGAGCCACAAAGAGCTGTCAGGACTTGGGCTAAAGCATGCTAAAGCCTGCAGTCTAGCCGATCGGCCCCTCCTCAAAATCGATAACCACATCACTACATCCTCGCATTTGTTGGATATGCATGGATATGCTGAGCTATGTTGACATTGTTGCTAAAACCTGCAAAAGTGAGACGCCCCCCTCGCATGCGATAACCTTGCTGAATCACCCTCTACCTGACAGTAGGTTTTGGCAAACGCTCATGTCATTCCATAGGCCTCAGCGCGACCGTCTCCGCCTGTGCCAAAAGCTCCTTGTTCTCATGAGAGAAGGGTCGTGAGCCAACATAGATTGAACATGATCGAAACATGTCATAAGTCATCCCCTGTTTGTATGGAGTGCTTATGCCAATATGACAGAGTGTTCCAGCTCTCAATGCAACCAAATAAACCAGACACACCCATGCATAGATATAATTAGAGTGTTTCATTTTGAACCTTGGCTGGGTTACTGACAACAAAGTAAATCCTTACAAGCGCCCAAACCAAAGAATTGACACAAATGCCTGCAGCTCTTCTTTGTTCTCTTCACACTACACTCTAGAGTGGGGGGGGGTCTAGAGCACAAGTCTCTTGGAGCTTTTGCGATGATGTTTAGAAGACATAAACAATTGTGGTTTTCCTTTCCATCAGCGTGGATTCCTAGGTAGTGTTCATCCTACAACTATCAATCAGGCTGTGAACAAGTGCCTCTAGCTAACATCATCCTCAAAAGCATTCCAATCAGTCGATCTTACTATCCAGTCGATCTCTCAAGTCGGTGCAGGAATCACAATCCATATTCCCCTCAAGTCGGTCCACGGGCCGTTTTTTGGAGCTACAGGGAGTTGCCCAACCACAGCGGACCGTCCAGGAGTGGATCCCAAGTCGGTCCGTTCGATGTTTAACTTTACAATCTTCGCCTTAAGATGGAGCCCCTAGTAGCGTCCTTGCTCCTAGGAGATCACTGGATGAAACATAAACTTAAACAGACCGTTTTCGTGCAGTATGACCATATCACTACCCGTTGGCTCAGATGGATCAATTTCTGTGCGTCTGTGATGTGTATATGATTATATGATGCATCAACGAACCCAACAAAATGGACCAGCAAGTTTCACAAGGCCAGTGAAGGCAGAACAGCCTTGGTCAAGGTTGGCGGGTTGGTCGGTGCAATAATTGTGCTGGAGCGTTTTGACACAGAACAAGTAGATGAACATTAAAAGACACTGAGGCATTATTATACAAGCAATCTGTTAAAGAACCTGAGGTCTTGATTTGTATATAGAGATCTTTTTTAAACATCCGTGGTTGCGTGATATTTTGGTTGAGTGAGATTCCGATGACAGGACCACTTGTCCAACTTGAGCACTGCCTCCATCCGAGGTGGACAGTGGAATGCTCTGAACAGACTGACAGCGCAGGGGCGCGTGAGCTTTTTGCAGCGGAAAAAGAGTTGGATCGAGAACGAGCCGTCCAAACAGATTGGTGGATGACCACGTTGCTGACCACAGCAAGATACCAGAGAAAAGCCATCATTTCTCACAGTGAAACCGTGTAGTTTCTCCAGCAGCTTGAGACGTTCTTCTCCGTCCTTTCCGTCATCCGTCGATCCTGCAGAGGCGGTCATGGACTCAATGGATAAACGAGCTATCAAACAATCAACACGGTTGTTCTTGTGATTTGTCCCGTCACACCAAAATCATCTTCCTCCTTTGGATGGTGTTTTAAATAATTGTTTAAAGACTTCTGGGAGAAAGCCTCCAACTGACTCCAGGTACGTGTGTAGGTGCTCTGACTTCTGCGGTGGTGCCGAACAACCCCCCTGCCTCGCTCCTGGGCTGCCCGGCTCCAGCTCCGGACGTGACGAACGCGGCGCCATTTCGGCTCATCTCAGTTGCTGCCCCCAACAGGATCCAAAAGGGACCGGGTGGGTGCTTTTTTGAGGCCCGGCCCGAAGGAGAACGCGGAGCGGAAGGTTTAACAGAGGGACAGTAGTAGCTGTAGCTCGCTTGCATTGTGAGTCCCTCCAATCCACAGTTTGTTTTTGTTGGAAAGAAGGCAGCTGGCAGAATTGCCCTGCTTGGTGCTCGTTGCACAATGGCATACAAGACTCATGTCAAGCAAAGCAGCATTCGCCGCCACTTGCGACTGCACAGAGTCACTTGTTTGTCGCAGCTTTTTCCAGCTTGCAAAGATGTTTATAGTCTTGGTGGTGCTCCTAGGGCACCACTGGCTTGCGCATGGCGCAAATCAGTGCTTTGCGGATGCGATCCCGGCATTGGAGCGACTTGGTGATTTCGAGCCTTGTAGACGTTGTTGCATTGGCCTTGCGTGCATCACATGTGTTGCTGAGAGTGTTTTCATGCTACGCATGTTTAAGGCAACAGATGTTGAAGTGAACCGGGATATTCGCAGGTAAGTCGGAGGCAACTTGCAATTTCGACTCATGATTCTCTCACAATTCACAGGCTTTGGCCTCCTTCAGAGAGCTCCTCAAAGTCCCGGTCCACCATCGTATCGGCAAAAACAAGGGGTCAGATTATTTCCTGTGGAAAAGAGCTTGTAGCTGATTCAATACTGACTTTAGTGTTAAAAGAGAGTTAATTATCCTGGATCATCCTAGGTCTTAGTATAACATATTCTATTGTGGATTGATTGGTCGACTAGGAGGTTATTCTCGGCTTACTTCAGCTGGACATTTTGTTTGAATGTCTTGGATTTCCACCACCAAATCAGTACACATCGTCATTACTTTCGTCATTGCACATCTTCCCCAGAACATGTGTCGGTTTATGTAATTATACTTATGAGGTTCCTTCAATCTTGAATAGTTTGTTGTTTTCAACCCCATGTTATAGATCTGCATGTCCCATCTCCAAGAACGGGACTTATTCGACTGAAGAATCTTCATCCATTTGGGGAAGGACATGCCTGATTCCCTCATGACCGGAAGGTGTGTGAAGTCTGCAACCCTAAAATTGGTGCAATCACCAAATGTAATCCAAATTTCAAAGGACACAGTGGCCGACCCAAAAATGCATCTATGATTACACAATTTTATTTAAAGCATATATGTATACACGAAAAAAGATAACAACAATCAAAAGGAGCTCACAGACCACCATCCAACTACCGCATGCCGCAAACAAACTTGGTCAAATGAGAGTCAACTGTATGTTTGACAAACCTGTACGATCTTGACTTTCCAAAAATGCTTGAAGTGAGTTGACAGAAATTCTGACCATGAGTGCTCCGCTGACCACGAGTGCTGTAGGCCGAAGGCTATGTGCTCAAGGTGATGAATCGGTTAGGGCCCGAGAACACCGACTTCAGGAAGTAGACTCGTAGGCCCCAGACTTGACTTTTATTCCACTTCCTGTACCCAAATATGGGAAAGGTAATGGCACACTCAATTGCTCAAGCAATGTCACTTGTTTGCAAAATGGTTTGGCCTGTCACTGTGTCTATATACATATCATTGGCTAACGTGTTTTTTTTGCATGGAGCACATGATGGCCTACCATGCAGCAAGTGGATTGCCCTTCTTATCAACACAAAGGTGAATCGACTTGCTGCATGGTAGGCCACAGTTCAATGCATGTTGTACATGTTGCCCAAACATGGCCATGTTGTACATATTGTCCAAAAATGTCAATGTTTTGCATATGGCCCAAATATGGCAATGTTGTGTAATGCTACAAGTTGGCAGATGGTTTACAAGGCAATTGATAGGAACATTGCTAGAAATATACAAGTATAGGAATCATTGGCATGGGTTGGGATGTTTGTGGCACACAGCTAGCAATGTGGCTGCTGGCAAGAACTTGCAAAAAGAACATTCAAAACATTGCCCAAACATGGCTACATTTGCAATTGCCCAAACATGGCCATACAAGAAGCACCTGTGACCATGTGTCTCTTGGACATACTTTTCACTATGTTGTGACAGTTTTTTGTTTGTTTGATTTTTGTTGTTTTTACCAGTGTGCATGCATGTTCATGTCAAATTATTTTGGATATGCATGAGAAATGTTCACTGAAGACGTATCTTGGGCAGTTTTTTCATTCATCAAAACATGTTTTCAATCTAGTTTTGAAAGGTATGTGCTAACGATGCTAACTGTTAGCAGTGTTAGCCTGCTAATAATGCTAACGCAATAACATTGTTATTTTTGTTAGCTAAAACAAATAACTGTCAGTAATGTGTACATATATATATATATACAAATGTTAGCATTGTTCTACCATAGTTGCAACCATGTTACAACCACGTCGGCACCCTGTTTTAACAGGGTGGCTAACTATCATAACCTGCTATAACAAGGCGGGCAATGTAAGTAGTTTAAGGAGTTGGTTCCGTTCATCTACCATGATGTTGACCCACGCCGACTCCACCGAGCCGGTGCCGGGCGAGTTTTCACTCCAGGCGACGTGAGCTGGTGAATGATGGACAAGTCTACCCAGTTGGCCTCTACTTGATCGACTATGCTGCACAACACGCTGCAGCAGAGTTAGTGAACATTTTGCTTCAGGAGAATGGCTCACAGGGGGGCATTTTTGCCTCAGTGTTACGACATGATGTTTTTGGGACGAAGCTTGAAGAATTGCTCCGTGTGCGCTTTTTTTACTGCAACATCAAGCAGCTCGGATACACAAATCCACAGCTGGGTGTGTCATGGCTGCCCAAGAAATATAGAGAATTATGATTGCAGGTTTGCAGGTACATTCAAGTTGATCATCTCTGATAGGGGGGTAGACACGAAAAGGATGTTTTGTTCAAATTGGATGTGATTTCATACAGGCGTTCATTAGTGTTTGCAGAAGGGGAATTCACGCTAAACATGTGAGACAAGCTACCACAGCAGAAGTGAACATGATTGACAATCAATCCTTCATGAGGAAGATGCACCAACGATCAATTAAGTTTCCTGTCTGTGGAGTCGTCAGATTCTAAAAGAAAACACCCCCCTTCTCGAACTTTGTTGGGTCATAAATAAAGACACCATTCCATGTTCCATGTTTGTAATCATATATTTGAATGTATCCTGACTTTCCCGCCAAAGATTATCATCTCCCCTAGCGCTCTGCCAGACTTTGCCACCGCAGAGCAGTCAGTTCCACGTGACCCTGTGAATTACCAGCTATGTTTGCGTCATTTTCGCTCAAAGATTCGACCAGTCTACCGGATTTAAACATGCTGCCCCAAAATGGTCAAACGCTCCTAAAGCATCCTGAAGCAAATTCCAGTGCCACAAGCTGAGCAAGGAGAAACTGGGCTATGTGGTGCAGAAGATGGTCAACGGAAGTGCTAGTTTCCATTCATTCTTTGCCTTGGCTGGTTGCACCAGGCCCACGAACTACACGCATCGTGGATGCAGCCAAGACAGCACCACGCGTGCGCATATCAGTGTGGAAGTATGGACTGCAGGTGGGGCACGGTGTGAAGGGGCGAACCGGCGGACAGCAGGCGGATAGGTGTGTTTGCCTAATTCTTCATGTTGGGATGTGAGTGTTTACAAGACTGTTGCGTCTTTTCCGTGGTTAGTGGACATTCTGTTGGGGTTCGCGTGCCCGTGGTTTCATCGCATAATTCCAATCAGGGGTGGGTATTTTTGCCCAGATGCGACTTGATGTTCGGGGTTCGAAATAATGCCGCCGGAATACCTCGAAAGTCATGAGATTTCCAATGTTTGAGGGGTAACATAATTCTGTCCTTTTCAGGCTGAGCTGAAAAAAGGTCATGAATGCAACAAAGAACACCCTTTTGTTTTCAATGAGGCCTCTAGGTACGAGGGAAGTCCATGCCTTTGATGTCTTGCAGGCTATCCTGACGAGTGGCAGTTTTTGCAGCAAGAATACCCATCAGTTGTTCCCAGGACAGCTGTCATGCTTCCACATGACAGGTTAGGTGGGCAGATTCCATCTTGACACAATCCAAGCTGCAGATTCAGGCTCTTCAGGCCAGGGTTGAGGATGTTCTTCCATTTTCTCTAGAACTACCAGAAATCTAACTAGGTTGGTGGCCTAAGTCCAGGCGTCTAGAGGCGGCGAGCCTTGTCTGTGTGTGCACCAGTCGGGTTTGGTAACAAGTTGGATGTGATACTGATGTTGCTTCTGTTTTGGAAATGCCAATGGCAGACTATTGCCACATGGAGAGACCTTGCCACCAAGCACCCAGCATTTGGCCACACCATTTGGAACAGGACAATGCTGACTAGACAAGCTGTCAGGGGGTGAAGACTTGAACTTTTGTATCTTGCTTGCCATCCATAGCTATGTAACTTCTTCCGTCTCGCCTCAAGACGGATGACCTGCCCTCGTTTGGGGGCTTAGCTCGCATGCTCTGGAAAAGATCTAGCGTGTGGACGCGGGCCGGTTTTTGGGTTTTGGTTTTGTGTTCAGCTGATGTCACGAAATCACTTCCGCATGGTAGCGGAGCCTGCCACCTGTGCAGGCTCCAGTAGTGATGGCTTCTAGCTCTGGATGGTGAAGGAGGACGAACTCACTCACATTGTTGGGACCCAGAATAGCATCAAACTTGACAGGACGTGCTTTTGAAGCAATAGCTGAGATCGACAGAGCTCAGCTAAAGAAAGCTGACGGTTGGAAATATCTCTTGGAGTACTTGGAAAATTCGTGGAAAAGAAAAGGTAGATCTTTTGGGAGACGCATTCCATGAGTTTTCCATCAAGAAAGAGACCTACAGGGAGGACTTGGAGAAGGCCACTCGTGAAGCTGGTGTCAAGGGCAAACTTCCAGAAGAAGTTTGTGGCTGGTATCTACCCACTTGCTATGCGAGCATGGAACCATCTGACATGGCAAATGTTTGTGGTCGTTCAGAGAGCTACAAACTATCAGATGTTCTCGCAGCACTTCAAAAGATGTGGAGTGAAGGAAGACTGGCAGCGAAAGATCAGGAGCTCAAGCACAAGAGAAAGATTATGGGGCAAGCCATGATGGTGGAGGAACCTCACGGCGAAGAAGGAGACGTCCTCCAGGTTCAGGAGGCGGAGGCGGAAGAAGAGCTGCTGACAATTGTATTGACAGAATAGCATGGTATCAGGAGGCACTCACAAGCTTCCTAGCAGATCCTGATGATGGAGATGCGCTTGCAAATCTCAAGGGGGCTCGACGAGCACTCGACCAAGCAAAGACAGCTCGTGGACTGTACCCAGTTCAGAATCCCAATGCATCTCACTCATCTGGGAGCTTGTGACAAGGGAAAGCAGGAGAGATGACAATTCACAGGCAGACAAGGATTGCATGAGATGTGGGAAGAGGACACATTGCTCGCTTTTGTCCACAAACGACTTCAACAAGGGAAAGAGAAGGGCAAAGGCAAAGTGGGCTTTGTGGGTCACTTCCAAAGTGTGTAGATGGATGATGAAGGGTTTTTCAACACGGGACAAAGCAATCCTGTACCCCAACAGGGATATGCCATAGTGGACAGTGGACAGTGGGGTCAACACCTTACAAGACCTTGCTGACTTTTTTTGAAGAGCTGGGTCTTGCTGCTGAACATGAGATTGAGATCAACAGGACTATGCACAAGAACTTCATGTATGGAAGTGATCATAGCAGCTCAGCCATCGGACTAGCCCATGTCAATGCGTGTATCTTGGGAAAAGAGATGATCCTAGATGTTCAAATCATTGACGGCAGTACTCCTCTGTTGCTGAGTGCAAAGTTTCTGCGCTAGATGCGCGCGGTGATTGACTTCAGGACTGCAACGGGGACCTGGAGGGCATGTGTTGCTTCCCATCACTGCGTTTGCTGGGCGTGAACATGTCGTGGACAGTTTTGTGTTGACTGTTGTGAGCATGGTTTGATCAGTAGAAGAGGGGATTTACTGAAAGTGCCCTGGGGCCTGTTCAGTATTCATTCGGGAGTGAGAAAGGTCTCATGGGACAAAAACCCATCCTCCAGTCCAAGGAGCCCACACCGCTGTGACTGCGACACATCCACCTCCTGCGTCGTCGTTTTGCTAGGGCTTTGATGACAGATGGTCAACCAGATCCAACGTTGGAGAGTGGTCAGCTGAGCTTTTCAGGTTCCAAACAGAGCCCCACTATTTTGGCGGAACGTGAGCACGGCGAGGCAGAAGAATCCGGACCAGACATCTCAGAGGAACAAAAAGAAGAAAGAAATGAGGAAGAAGAAGAAGAAGGTAAGAACCAGAAGGAGAAGATCTGTCCCGGATCGTAGATTTGCTGAAGGAAGTGCAGCGCAATTTGGGGCATCCTGGCATTGCATCTATGAGAAAGCGCTTGAAAGACGCAGGGGCTTTTTATTGAGTGCTGCAAGTAAGCATTGGGAATGTTTGAGTGTTGACAGCTTTTGGTTGTGGGAGTTGGAGAGAAACCTGACTACATGGTTGTTTTGAGCTTGATGGACGAAGCGACTGATTTCCATACTGCGGTGATTCGGCGGTGATCATCAAGACTAGTCAGGACGGACCCCTTAGAATATATTGGGAGAAGGTTTTCGGAATGCGTTGTGTAAGGGTTGGTTACAACATTTTCCGGCACCGTCTGTTCCCCGGTATGATGAAGAGGGGTTCATGAGAAATTTGGAGATTGTTGCTTGGTTGGAAACCGTTGGGATGAGGTTAGAGCCCGCTGGAAGTGCGTGGCAAGAAGGAACACATTCCAAACATCTTCAAACGTTGAAAGGGTCCATGAACTTGGTTTGCATGGAGTTGGGAAACGAACATTCTATCCGACAGCTTTTGGCCTTGTGCGCCCTGTGTTTGAGTGCGAAAGCAACACCCATCCGGTTCGAGGATGTTCCCCAAACCAATGACACAATGAGTTTTGGTCGAAATCACAGTCGGGTATCGCCATTTTTGGAACAAACCTTCCCACGCAGAGCGCCCGTGAAGTTGCCACGATTGAAGAGAATGTGAAGGCTGAATTGGAGGCACGAAAGCTGTTCCTCCAAGTTGACGCGAAGCGAAGAATCTCCAAGGCCCTGAACGCTAAGGGAAGGCCACTGAGAGACCAGTGGACGTGTGGTGACCTTGGCTAATATTATAGAAGGGGTAGGAAGGGAGCGGGTAGAGTGCTGTCTCATGAGACGTTCGTTCCTGATCCTTTTTGATAGTGCACGCTGGAAGGATTGCCCCCTGCTCACCTGAATAACTTCATTTGTTTGCGCGCATGACCTCAGACACCTGGATGAGGAAATCAATTAACCCATGAAGTTTCAACACATGTTGAGCCAAGTGTCTCAACAACAGAAGTACTCTGATAGTGCGAAAGAAGCTTTTGAGAGAGAATCAAAAAGAGAAGAAAGACAATAGCCATGTCCTGAGGAGGAACGACCACATTTTCGCGTTTTTGGAAAACAGGTTTGGTGCAGATCCTCCGACCGTGATCGAAACTCGACTTCCGATGGCTAGACTCTCAGCAGTCTTCAGATGCTGGTGGAAAGGATAGAACACCAGGAGTTCGAGAAAGAGAAGAAAGAAGTGATGAGACTAGACTTTTGTGACCACTGATGCTATTCAGAATTGTTCTTCTCAGGGAAAGGATCCATCACGTGTGATGCAAATGCGATTCATATATGTTTATAGGAAACCGTTCATGACCAACAAGGGACGGAAGTTGGTAAGAAGGCTACCGGCAGCTAACGCTAGACTCATTGTGAAGGGGTTCCAGGACCCTAGGCTGACCTAGTTGAACAGAATTCAGAGAATCACCGACCTTAGACCCGAAACCTTCTGTTATCTTGAAAGTGCTGCCTGCCACTTCCCACTTCATATCGCAAGGTTTACTGAATGCTCCAAAACTATGGTGCGAGTCTTTAAGCACTTTTCTCAAAGATGGTTCGGTGATTCACTCTTTGGGTAAGTGTTTGTTGCAATCAGTCAAAACAAAAACTTCAACATATTTGTAGGACAGGAAAAGTTTGCCCGGGCTATCAAGGAAGTTCCTATCACCAAGCAAAGAAAAGAAGATGTTAAGGCTGAAGTTTCAACTAACTAACTGAAGAAAACAAATGTGCCAGACACTCGGATCGCTCAGTTGGAGGGCGAATCAAAGTGCGCCTTGGCTCCTACCTCCAGTGTCACTGCTTCAGGGCCGAGAGGAACTAGCATGCGTGAAGGGTAAACAAACTTGTGAGACTGCGGAGAAAATGTCATGAGGGAGGTCTTTCTTTTCCGGCTTTGAGAGGAAATTTGACGGTCATGACATTTTCTGATGCTTGGCGACTCGATCCGACGGTTCTTCACAGGGTGGACAAATCACCTTGTTGGCGCCCCGCAAATGCTTCGCGGGGGGGTCAGTTTTTGTGTTCTTGGTTGGTATAGTAGAAGACTGAAACGAGTAGCTCGATCCAGGATTAGCGCTGAAGCGCAAGTGAGTGCAAATGCGCTTGACTACCAGTGAGAGATGAGAAACCTGACTTGAGAAGGTCTCATGACTGTCTGGGCACTTTTGATAGTGGCATGATAGTTGATGCTAGAAACATACATGATGGCTCAGCTAAGAACTGCCAAGAATCAAAGAACGACTTGGGTGGATGGACATCCAGAAGTTGCTAGGCGGTTGTTGAAGGCGCTTCGCTTGGGACCGGAGTTTGGAGGATTGTGTATGACACTCAATTCAAGTCTGCTCGTCGAAAGAGAGCCTTGAGGTTTTTGGGGGGCCGACGCATATTGCTTGCACTGTTTGTTCATCTGCTCAGTTTGGATGAGCAAGCAACACAAGATGTTTAACCGTTAAGATTTGAACTTTTGCATCTTGCTTGCCATCCATAGCTATGTATATGCCTTGCTTGCCTCAAAACGGATGACCTGCCCTCCTTTGGGGGCTCAGCTCGCGCGCCCTAGAAAAGATCTAGCGTGTGAGTTCGGGGCCGGCTTTTGGGTTTTGGTTTTGTGTTCAGGTGATTTTGCGAAATCATTTCCGCGGGGGAAGTGCCCACAAGCTCCGCTTGTTTGCTGGCTGCTAGCCTTCTGCTGGTCAGCTGCTTTTGCTGGTCTGCTGGTATTCGCCACCAGCAAGATTACTTTGCAACACTAAACGAATGTTGCATTGTCCCATTGGTAGCCTTTTGGACAGCTTACAAAGTTTCTGAGACCTTTGTTTCAACGGGTTTCAACGGCAGACAGCAAAATCTAATAGATATCATCGAGCTGGTCGCTGTGTGCAGCTGCTTCAGTGACATTGATGATGATTATGCCGCTACAAAACCCGATGGGGTTTGCACCATTTGCCGTGACTTTCCGTGGGTTCCGGAGAGTTTAAGGTATCTCTGACACTTACAAGTCAATAGTCAACACTTTCCCGCCATGTTTGCCAGGAACTTGGGTTCCATGGGATATGTTGGAACCACGTCACTCTTCATTCCATCGCACGTGCAGGAGAGACTGCTGGTGGATAATGGAAATCTTTCAGAGACAAAGACTAAGAATCAACATGTGTTTTTTTGTGATGTGTTTTCCATCGTCGCACATTGGCACACTGCTTCAATTATGTGTCATTGGTGGGTTCCTGCAATTTCCTGATTCCCACAGGAGTTGGCCTACAATGTTGAAGGTTTGTCGCTCGACTTCTACCGGGCATCTTGGATTGAACATGAGTCAACCCCCCCCAACTTGAATTCTGTGCTCAGGTTGTTTGACAAGTTGGCACAAACCACAAAAGGTGCCTCAACAAGGGATCCCCACAAGGTAATTGGTTTGCGGGTCTTGTCAGCAATCTGGAAACTTAGAAAAGACTCGGGCACCTCGTAGCAGTTTGCATCGAAGGAATTCTTGCGCCACCTGAAATCTCCAGTTCAATTGCCTGAGGAGGGTTTTCGTATGAATCTGCGGCGCAGAACTTGATCCATCAACACTATTTTTTTTCGTTACAGTTGTTCAGGAACTAAAAAAACTTTGTTCTAGAAAATCCAGTCTGACCAACGAGCCCATCCTCCGAGTGCCACGTTGGTGAAATTAATCATTTTTTGCATTTTGACGAGACAACTAGATATGCAGATATGCAGTCAATTTGTTGTCTGATCAACGGAATCTTGTGCACTTGTTCACCTCAAGTGGTGCAGGACTTCTTCCTAAAAGCCCTGGGTCATTCACTACAGAACCGCTTCGATTGGAACTGGTAAACAAGGCTCCGAACATTCTGATCCACCCGTGCCTTTTGAGCATTTTCATGGATTACAAATTACTTCTGCAGGGAAATATCCTAGCATTATGTATTGCTAGGGACCGACATACCCTTGGAGAAGGGAAAGGTTTTAACCTGCCGACAGCACACCCAGGAACAAAGCTCCGAGTTCACAAAACAAAACAAGGCTTCCATGGCGTTTCCCAAGGACTACAATACTTCGTGGGAACGGCCATCACAATACTTCACCACCATCGATCAGATCAACAGATCCAAGCTTATGTTATGCGAAGAAACTCTTTTGATGAGCGTGAAGATGATGTCGACCTACCTGGAAATCACCGGCGACCATGAAGGTGTTTCCCAAGGTGGGGCCATCGGCGGAAGATGTTATATCCACCGTTGTCAGAGAAAAAACTTTTGTGTGTTTGGAGTAAAGTTAAAGAATCGGAGTGAAGGGAACTATTGTTTCCGTTGTGCTGGCCTCAGGAGATACAGGCCTTGCTTTTTGATGTTTTTTGATGTTTTTTTTGTTTAACCTACTTGATTGTATAAGTTGCCTGTGCTCTCGTGCTGGTGCTTCCTGGGTGATCTACATGGTTGAGATTGTAGTAATATCGCTGTCGTTCGATTTGAGTCTAAGTGCTGAACCTACTGGCATGAAAATAGAGACCAGACCACAACAAGTGTCCAAAACGGGAGGTCCCTCGAAATTACACGCCAAACACATGGACGGCTCACTGTGGATAAACAATGGTTTCCTGGTGTGGGCATTGTTCACCGAATATTCAATGGTTTCCCATCTACAAGTGGTTTATCTCAGCCCCCTCGGATGAACACTAAGAATCCAAAAGAAACTCAACCACGCTTTACCAAGAACGTCCCACTGCAGAACAGCCTACCTTTTGTCATTCCTGTGGCTAGAGAGTTGTAGTGGCACGCGCAAGACACCACACACATACCAAAATGATTGATTCTATTAGTGTCACAAGATGTTGTGCAGTTTCTTGCCATGTTTCATCAAGCACTGCCACGCAACATTGACATGGTCGACTCCAACTTTTTTCAGGCACTGGCGGCATTACCGGCCGATGTTTTGATCAGTATTTCTGGTATGCACCTGCTTGCCGGCGCAATTCGTCAAGTTGCATTCCTTGCTTTACGGGCGGCACTGGTTGGGGCAGCCTTGAAATGCTTCAGAAGGCAGTGGCGACCCGAAAGACTGTCTCACGAAAGCTTCAACAGAGAGCAGTCGGTTTGGAAACTGAACATTCCCTGTTTAGACAGGGTTTGCTGTTTGCATTGGTTTGTCCAGCGCTGTTCTTGTTTGGTGCAGCTTTAAACCAGTTCTAGTATGGCCGGTTGTTTTGCGACAGGCCACTTTTCTGGGCATACCGTTGGCATGGATTACAGCCAAAGACTGGAATGCTTACTCGGCCTTGCCAAAGGACTATGATTCCATCTTTTATTGGTGGACACCGGATCCCACCTTTCTTAGGCGCTTTGTCGTGTATGTTAAACACATTTACTTTCAATGTGATTATGATGTTTTACACTCTGGGCCAGGATGTTTCTACCTTGGTTCTTTTTTAACGTTGTTGATGTCTGTTTGTGGTTCTCCTTGCGAGCACGGCAACCCTGCCAGTTTGAATGCCGAGCAGATCATGTTCCCTGCGCATAATGGGGTAGAGTGGGCCAAAGGCGATCACCGGTCTGCGGCCTTTGCAATTCAAATCGACAAGTATATTAGTCAGGACGGAAGTACTTGAGAAACTCCAAGCTGTTTGTTCAAATTGCGGATGATCTTTTGCGTAGCCTGCGCAAACTTGAATTGATTTGATTTCCTTGGTTCTGCCTTTTCGTTGCAAGAAGGTGCTTCTTTTCAGGCCTATCCAGACCTAGACTATTCTGGAATGAGGACTTGAATAAATTGGCTCCTGATATTGAAGAGTTCATGCGCAACTACAATGTGGACATCAAGCATGTGGAGATGATCATGTGTTTGTGCAATGCACGAGCATGTTGTGTCATTTCTTGTGAGCCATCCAACCAGACAAGCCAAGAAGACTTTTAATCAGCATTGTGTCTTTTTGAGACAGTCCTAGATTAGTTTTGGTATCAGCTAGCAACACTCTTTTCAAGAGCCATTTGCGATTTGGATAGACTTGAACAAATTGACACACTGAAACTTTAATTGAAACATTTCACACGCCATTGTTTGGTTGTGGCATGTTGTGGCATAGTTGTATAAGTGGTGTGGTGTGACAGATTTCTTTGATGATTGGGAACACCTAGGGCGGACCAGCTGCAGTCAGGGGAGTCATACTTCGACGCTGCCTGCCGCTGGCTCCATGCGAACGGTGACTGGCGATCCTGGCATTGCTTGAGGTGTTTTTTCTATTTGATGTCCCAGTAGTCAAATCTAGTGACGGGCACCGTCCTTTCCATGCGCTTTAGATGAATTTCTTCAAACGGCTATAGGGCGTCCTTATAGGGAATCAGTACAGCTCAAATCCGCCAGCCGGAGGCACTGAGGCGTGAGTTTAAGCTCGTGAAACGTCACATTGGCCGCCGAAGGCGCACAGTCTAGTGCTCAGTGAGCTCAGTTAGCTTAGGGGGGGACCCTTATATTTTGGGAAGTCACAGGCAAGCGGAAAAACATGAATTCACGAGTTTTTAGTGTTTTTCTTGACTGCCCAGCGAAGAATTCTCGTTTATATAACTGGGGGTATGGGGTGGAAGCGCGTTCACATGATATAGCATTGCTTTCTTGTCGTCAACTGTCAGCAACCGTCTGAATGAAGAACATGGTCTTAGGGGAAGGATGGAAGCATGAAGTGGCAAATTCTTGTAAAATGGCGTAGAAACATGACATATTCAGTGTGAAGGATGATTGTGCTGCGCAGGGGCAGCGTTTTGTGAGGTCAGCATTTTGCATCGCTGTGCCATTGGGACATGTCTCAAGTAAAAGTTTGCAAATATGTGGTGTGGCGCAAACTGTTGTATTACATTCAAAAGGTGTGGGATCGTCACTTCTCGTGCTAGGCGCAATGCTTTGCGCGTGTTGGAGGTGCATGGGGAATGAGGTTGCGACGATTAGTGCAGGTGAATGTCGCTACAATTGGGATTGGCGCGTCGGCGATGGCTCTTTCGAAGGCCTTGGATTGCAAAACTGTTTGGCAGGGCTGCGGGATGTGTTTGCTTCGATGAGACTTCACTTTACACGCCCGCTCACTTTTTGGAGGGTTCTCCATGCTCATGTTGGAAGACTTGACGGGTGGCTTTTGGAGGAAGTCTCGTATACAACATGCTCATTTTGCAGGCTTGACACGTCAGACACTTGGAGGAAGTCTCATGCGAAATGCTCGCTTGGTTCATGAGTCTGTTGCGTGGAAGTGCGTTTCCGTGGCTCCTGTCCATTGGGGAGCCGGAAGCGTGACTGTGTAAACTTGGCGCGTCGCAGTTATAAGCGGGATGATACGCGGTGCCCAGAACAGAGTGTCTTACAAGAGTGTACAGGAGAGTCCTAAAAGAGTCTGTCCCACAAGAGTGTCCCGCAAGAGCGTCGCAAAAGAGTGTCAAACCGAAGTGTCGCACAAACGCTTCCTGTACAAGAGTGTTGTCAAGTACATGAGTTTCCCACAAGAGTGTCCCACGAGAAAGTCACGCAAGAATTGAGTGTCCCTACAAGACTGCAGGACACTGGTCAGAGTGCCAAGCAGAAGCGACCCACAAACCCATCCTACAACTGTGTCCTGGAAGACTGTCACCCCTGAATGTCCTGCAGGAGTGTTTTGGAGAGTGTCAAGTAAGTAGAGTAAGAGTAAGAGTATCAAAGAAGGCTTGGCTATTTCGTCCCCGTGTAGGATTCTCATCAAATGAGGGGTCCTACCCATAAAACGGGGGTCAGTCTCAGTTCCGAATTTTATGGAGATTCTGCGCGTTTTTTTTAACATGTTTCAATAAACTGTATCAATTTTGTGCAGCCTCGTGAACATGTCCATCAAGAGATGTGTCAAAAAAAAAGACTTGAAAAAGAAAGACCAACCTGCTTTTTGATTGTATACCTCAGGTGGACGGCCAGATCATTATATCTGTAGAATGACCCCTCCACACTCCGATATGGTATCCTACACCGGTATGCTGTTTGCGTTTAGGTATATTTTTGTGCGTTCGGTCGCGTGGGCTCCATTTCTTTCAGCGTTGCAAAAAAACAGCCATGTTGGACGATTCAGAGCAATATCTTCGGAACGCGGGTTCATCTTGGGGTCAACTTGGTCCACAATTATTCAACAGAACCGTTTTTTCGCGATTGTGATAAAAGGAAAGCTAAGGATTTTAGATTGTAAAGTAACAGTTTGAGCCGGGTTGAACCCAACATGCTCCAATGGAACATTTATCTGCACCATGTTCCCTTTGTTGAGTCCATGTCGGCACATTGAAACCAAACAGACTCAAGTTGCATCATGTTGAGTCGAGCCTAGCCTGGTGCGGGCGGTTCATCGCGAAGTGTCATGTGGGTTTGTTTTTTTGGCGTGTACTTCCTGATGTAACTGTAGTTGGAAGTTTGACTTGAGCGATTCATACCCTCGAATCATACCCCGAATCATGCCCCCCAAGTCCTACCCCTCAAAAAGTAGGTAAAAGAACTAGGTGTTAAGGTGACACTTTTGGTTGGTCTTTGTGCCTTGTAGATGTCCATGAACCAATGGTGCAGGACGTTATGTGATCCGTGGGCACTCAATTGGCAAAAAGTTTCAGGGGGACCAATGTTCCCATGTGCTCTCCCGGAAGAAGAGCCAAAGAGTCGCCTCCCTTTGCAGAATCTAATGGCCATACGAATCACACCCGATTCATGCACGATTCATACCCGAATCACGTACCTCCACACACACCACATCCTGGTTGTTTTGGTGGGGCCTGTGGAGGGCCAGGAGTCAAAAGGGTTGTGTCTTTGGTGGGGCTTGGGGTCGGGGTCTTTGGTAGAAGAGTGCATTTGCGTGTCTGCCCAGCAACTCACGGCGCAGAAGCGGGCCCACTGCTCAAAGTCCAGCTAATCCAACAATACAATTTCAAAGCTGCAAATCATACCCTCGAATCATACACCGAATCATGCCCTCGAATCAAACCACCTATTCAAATTCCCAGGCCCGACTACGGTAAAAAGACGCACCCATGTAGCACTGCTTCTCGAAAAGAGGAAGTCTATCTGGCTGGGTGATCCATATGAGAACGGAATGCGAGGTGGCAGCAATGGATCCCTGACAAGACCAAGTGCTTTGCCCGGTACGGGCTCTACAATGCGAAAGAAGACTTTCGGCTGCCTTGGTTGGGTCAGTGGGAAAAATTGGCCTTGGTCTCCCAACGCAAACTACAAAACAACGCTACAATCAAGTAAGGAATATGTATAAGGTATTATGGCTATGTTAGGGGAACGATGCCCCTAATACCCTACAAAAGTTGCAGCTGCAATGACTTGTTTTGTGCACGCGCTGCAGAGTTTCGCACTAGTTGCGGATTCCAACAAATCAAAGAGCAACCGTTTGCACTGGTGTTCAGTCGATCACTGTCTTTTAATGCTCGGATGATAAACGGTTTTTCATCCGCTTATACAGTAAATTTGGTGACCAGCATCATCTATGTTATGGCCCTTGCTTCAGGAGAGATTTGTCGACAACCGAGCGAACCGGAACAACCTCAAGTGCGAGGTTTGCCCTCCTGGGTCTTTCTCCGACGAGATGCAGGAGATGCGACGGTTGCCATGACGGTCAGCTGAAGGGATGCCCACCCCCCAAAATATTTAAAATACTATACCACCGCGAGCGATGACTACTACTGGCCACTATATACTGTGACGAACGCCACAACCACAAAAGCAGAGCTTCTGGGGAAGTATTTGGAATGGCGAAAGAAACAGAAAATGGCGATGGCAGAGCCACATTCTGTTGGCCGAGGTCCTCCCGAGGTTCGGTTCATCCACTCACGCGACGTTGTTCTACAGATATGTTATGGTATATTTATAGTATGTTGTTCCTATTTGTTTCTGCAGGGGGTTGCATATTTTTCCGTTAGTTCAAATCCCCGTTGAAATGATCGTGGATCCATTGATCTCTCTGAACAATCGGGTCTGCAAGACGACAATGGCACCACCTTCATTTGCCGCACCTGCCATGCGGGGAGCTACCAGGCCAGACGATCATACTGGCGATCGTGTCGAAAAACACAAAAAAACATCAAAAACATAAAACAAAATATAATTGATTATTTTCTTGATACGTTTATATATATATATATAAGCGTCATTTTTCCCGAGGTACTCCTTGAGGAGAGTTTCGAGTATAGTACATGTAGTATTCAGTCCCACTTTGAATTGCTCGGCAAACTAATTAATCAATAGGTCGGTGCGTATGGCATGTTAATCCCAGATGCCTACAAGTGTTCGCCGTGCTTTGGGAGGTTAGATTGTTTTGAGTTTTGAGGGTATTTCTTCCTGTGAATATCCGTTGGGTTCATGGATGGCGCGATCGTCACCGATGCCCAAAGTTTCCGCGCAGGTCTTTGGTGCATCAACCATGTGCGATGCGTGCCCTACAGGGGAATACCAAAACGAGACGGGCCAAAACTTCTGCAAGAGATGTGGTCTTGGAGCCTATCAGGACTTGACAGGCCAAAGCTTTTGCCAACCATGCCCAAATGGAACAACAACTACTGGGTCTCTTGGCTTCAAAAAGCATCAAACATCTGTGCATGGTTCGTACAAGATGCCAAGAAGTATCCATGTAACTCTTCCCGCAGTTTATGATTCCGGAAAGGCTTCGACCACACTACATAAATCACACTCAAGACCACGTCGTGTGTTTGTCCTTCAGGGATGGTTTAAGGATTGCGGTACCCACTTCAATCAAACAAGAGGGTATCCCCCTTGGAAAAACACTACAGAATGGATGGCCTTAGGGCCACTACAATTCTGCATTTTAGTTTATTTTTTTGGCTCCCTGGGAGGGGGTGGGGCCTTGCAATCTATATAAAAGCGAGGTTTCATTCCCGGGAATGAAGAATTGTTCTCGGGCCACCTGCACTTTGTATAAAGAATTTTTGTCACATGTTGGAAGCATGCCCATACTGTATACTTATAAAACAATATACTTCTACAGAATGACAGTGCCCATCCTTTGGTTGTCAATTTTGGAAGTCACCAGTGGGTGCACTACAAAATGAAAAACCAGAGTTTATAGATGACTCATTGTTCAGAGCTTGAGGTTAGACCCTCCATTTTGTAGTGCACTTTGTCGTTTCTCAATCTTTGTTTCAGTCCTTGCATTCTATAGTGAGTGTCCTCGAGCACTTGCATTGTATAATGCCAAAACTCTGGCTCCCGCAAATCATTTCTATAGAATGAGCGGCCCAACCTCTCCATGGGTATTTGAAGCGGGATAAGAGGGTATTCTGTAGCAAAGCGCTCCAAAGAAATGCCAATGATATGATCCAGGTCTTCAACTTGTCTTACATCATGAGCCATAAGCGCAATGACAGGTCAGTCCACCAGCCCGCACTTGAGGCTTGGGTCAGTCTTCGTTACCGACTGCGGATGTGTTGAGGGGACTGTCAACGTGAAAGATTCAATCGGCAGTGGGCTCAGTGTCGTTAGTCGTGCCCTTTGCAGGTACCATTTCGTCCTTCGAACCGCAATGCTTTGTCGAGGTCGTCTTGTTTTACACCTGCCAAGAAGCAAGTAGATGTTTTTTGTGATGTTGTCCGAGCAAGTTTGTTTTCCATCCGCATGGATGCTTCATTTTTTTCCATCCGCATGGATGCTTCATTTAATGAAGTGAATCGTATGTGTGGTGCTTACCAAACTGAGAGCATTCTATAATTCTTTGCTACTGGTGGGACCAAGTGGCACACGAGTGTTGATTTGTGCACAATGAATGTATATATATATATACACATGCATGTTGAGGTGCCATAGCCAAGACGACCATCTACGCAGGGAATCAACACGGAATTAGCCAAACAAAGCGAAACCAGAGCTACTTCTACAGTGTTCAATGTTTGGTGCTCACATGTCCATGACAAAACAGCTCAAACAAAGCGCGTGCCCAAGATGTGCGCAAGACGTGGTGGCGCACATGCGGCACATGGGACCATCATTAAGGTTATTGTATGTTTGGATAAATACACACAAACGGTTTATATGTTTTCTTGTGGTGCTGCAAGCAACAACATTGTTACTCGTCACCTTGGTTCATAGGCCCGGCCGTGTTCATTCAGCCATCAGGGTGTCAATAAGATCACGCCAACGCTTTTCGTCAAGAAGCGGAGCAGGTCACCCAGGTAAGCGGAGTTGCAGTCATAGCAATGACAGAGAGAGAGAGAGAGAGACGGAGGAGATGAGAAGATATGGAGGCCTTTGTTCCCACGTGCCAGGTGAGTGTTGTTAGATTTTATCCAAGCTGGCAACTACTCCTTCTCTCTCCCACTCTTTCCACCAACCTGCGAGCTCTGGATTGCAGTAGGCACCACCGGACATGGGACCCGAGCCAGATAGATTTGCAGAACGAGCGCTAGAAGAGATGCCAAACAGATTGCCTGAAAGAATGTCAGAATACATGCTAGAAGGAATCGCAGAATTTATGCCGGATAGAATGTTAGAACATATGCCAGATAGAACAGATTATATAGATGCCAGATTTGATGCGCGTGTCAGGAGGACATGCTACTGGAGAAGTTATTATGTGAGACCACATGTGAAACCTTGTGAGACTTGACCTGGGACAACGGTAAGAACACACTCCATACATGATGTCAGAACGCATTCCAAAACGTCCCAGCCTTTACGCTACATGATATGTGATGATGTTTCAAAACACATACCAACAATGATACCAAGACAAACTGAAAATTGGGTCAGTGGCCGTGTCAGGCACAGTTTGTCAGGACAGTCTGTCAATACATGTGCCATGCCTGATACCAAATTGCGTCTCAGCGTGGGGACATTGAAGTAGTGTTGGTGTCGAATTGTTCAATAATGTTTGGGCCCCTTCTGGTGTTCCTGTGTTTTCTTGACGTGCCTATTGCTGTATGTGAAGAGTGTTTTGGTCGTGTTCAAAAGACCATGTGGGTCACTTGCTTCGTGAGTTTAGACCAACGAGGGGAATGGACATTTAGTTTGCACCCTGGGTTTAACACGATAGTGTTTCATACTATTTTTGGACCTTTTGGGATCTATCGATTAGTTGTTTGTATACTGCATCTTGCATGGGCAATGTCCCGGGGGAAGAGGAATGTTGCTTATTTACTGCGAACATCTCTGAGGCCTATTCCACTGCGTGCCATGCCCAGAGGGCCTGATATGCCCTTTCGCATCAACGATTCAGAGCCTGCAGCAAGGAGAAGCACCTTTGGGACCTCAATATGTGCCACAAGTGTCGGAAGGCTATTTGTCCGATCCTGATGACCCCTTGGTGATCTACAAATGCAACTGGTTTCAAACACTGGTGTCTTATCTATTGGGTGGTTTACTGATGCTTTGTGTGGAGTGTGAGTTGGTTCAAGAGACATTGAGTGTGGGTGTGTGTGTATTGTTTTGCTTCCGTCATTTCAAAACCTTTCAAAACCACAGTGCGTTTCATATCACTTCATACATGTTCATTGTTGTTCTCGGGGCCCTCATATTCCAAGGTGAGCCAAAAGCATCCTGTCCTGGTGGCAAGCCTGGAGAATGTGCCGCGGGTCTATTGGGCACCCCCTGTGCCACATGCTCTGATGGTAAGACCTGGACGGGAGAAGAATGTGCAGATTGCAGGGACGAGACGTTTGTGCTGTGGGCAACCAGTGCTGTGCTTTCAGATCTTTTTCAGTTGTGTTTTCTTGGGTTTCCTTCCTTTGGGTGGAATGGTCTTGGGTGGGTACAAATGTCCAACCTGGGTACAAATGTCCAACCACCCGATACTTCAGTGACTCCACTGGTGTTTCTGAGGTGCAGGAAGACTTAACTAACTTAACAATAAAAAACACATAAAGGTCTTCACTCCAGAAAAATTGAAATGCCAACCAGGCAATCCTCCTACTACTTTCATCAATGCTCTTGCTCAAGTCCTATGACCTGGTGGAAGCGAGGGCAGCTGGACAAATGTCACCTCTCCAGGCGCTTCATGTTCGTCAAAGACCAAGGGCCCTTGGCGGACCTGGAGGTAGAATGGCTATATCGGGGCTCATGGTGCGTGGCATTTACTTGCCATGACAAGATGCCAAGAAGAGCGCACGAGCTGGTAGATTGGTTTCGTTGTTCACGTGTGTTTTCTAGCGGTTTAAAGGTCACACCCCAGAAAATGGAGCAAATCGCCATTCTACCGCTAGGAAAAACACTGGGTTCCTTGTTGTGTTCCTTTGCCATGCGCTGTCTGTTGGTGCTCAAGTCACTACAGGGGACATGCAGTCGACAAAGACAAACACAGCAGCCGAGCGGAGCAAGAAGCGCGCAACTCACCAGAGCCCGTTCTGAATTCTGGTTGAACGCCTGAAGTTCTAGACTTCATAATATGTTCTTCCTTGGAAACAAAGCGGTCTTTTGACAATGTTCTTATTTTGCTCGCTCCGCACTAGCACGGATTGCGCAAAGCGGTGTTGTGTGACAAGCGGTATAAATCCAGGGAGTGGGGTATTCATGGGGCCCATGGGAGGTGGAGTGGTGAAGCTTGCCCTCTCCATGGGTCTGAATCGTTCTTGGGGGGGTTTGGCTGGTCTGCCTTTTGACATTTAGATGTTAAAGCTAAATTACTATTACTCTCTATTATTATCTATTTCAGTTATTTATTTGTTGTTTTTTTTAATCCAGTGTAAATTGAATTCTAATTCACTCCTTACCATCGTTACAACTTTCACAATCTCATCAACGTCATGTCAGCTGCAAATAGAGCAAAACCTTGCAAAATCAAAACTGTCACAACTCCAACTCACTAAAAATCTATAGGTGTCCACTTTCTGCGTGAAGCTAAAGTAACTAGCATGCATGCTCAGATCTGAGAAGATCTTTGGCTTTTGTGTCAGCAATGTTGTTCAAATTTATTGTAGGTAGCAGCTCAATCATCAGTTTGCGCAAGTAACAGATATACGCTGGTGCTCTTTGGTGAGACATGTCCCATGTTTGACCAAACATTCCCTGGCAACACTAGACGTGCAAATTTTCCACACAACAGGCAGAACGCAAGGATTTCTGATCTTGCATGATTGCAGGAACAGACATGTGTGATTTCATCCATTTGTTTTGTGCATGTACACAGCCAGGGTTTGACACTACCTGTAACACTGGCCCAAACCTAGGCGCCTCGAGTCACTTGGAGGCGACGGATCGTGTCGAGATTCAAACTGGTAGCGGAGCCCGTGCTGGAGAAAAAGGTTAGCTCGGAGGCTCGGATTCTGACCGATCCAGGACTTGGTTGATTGGCAGCATAGTTGACCAGAGTTGAGTTGGAGCTTGGTTGATTGTGCTTGACTGGAACTATGTCTTTGGCAGGACTGCGTTTCAGATCTTCCCACAAGGAAAGGCTGACTGGAGACTAAGAGTGGCTCCTACATCTATGCGGGGGAGCCACCCGGATTCCATGAGCGGGGATTCCGGACCAGAGTGTCCGTTGAGTTCACGAACCAGAGGATCAAGAAGAAGATGGCTGAACTCTAAGACCAGGCCAGCAGGTCTGCATCATCATCTCCTGCGAGAACGCGGGTGAAAAGGGCCCTGGACGACCGGATTGGTGGCCGGAGGGGCAGAAGAGGAAGAAGAGTTGGACATTGACGCCCTTGCTTGCAAAAGGTACTTGACGGCTTAAGATGCGATGCACACCTGGCCGCTCGGGACTTGGGAGTTGCTGCCGTTATTTTCCCTCTTCAGGCATTAGAAGCAAAGTAACTGAACCTGGCCTTCAGGGTTGGCCCGCGGTGAAGCAGTGAACAGTGGAATCAAGACGGGCGAGGTAGGTTCCAAGAATTCATTCCTGGTATGTGAAGTTTTCACTCCATTGGAATCGAGAAGCCTAATAACCTAATGCGGGCTCCTTTGGATGTGCAAAGACCTGCGTACACAGCCGTGTCACCGTGTCAAGCCTGTACATAAAGACGGGTGTGATTTCATCAACTGGTTTTGCGCATGTACAGAGCCGGGGTTTGACACTACACGTAACATTGGCCCAAACCTAGGCGCCTTGAAAATCTTTTGGAAACGGAAACAAGCGGATCGTGTCGAGATTCAATCATGCGACAAAGTGGCATTAAATCATTATATCATCAAGCAACCTCAGATAGCAAGATGAGGGAGTTGGTCATCGGGATCAACCCCGGCACGCTATCACTGGGCGTGTGTGTGTGTGACAGAAGTGCCAAGCTTTGGTTCACGGTGCTTCTGTGTTGATGCCAAGATACTTATGCCCAAAGCGAAGGAACCCGGGATCAGACAGGTTTTCGGAGGCAGTCGTCGTATGATGCTTCATATGGGGTAGCCACAACATGTTTGTTGCAAGAAGAGGTTCGATTCTCATTGCCAGGCATGTTTGGTTGCTGCCGGCATTGCCCTCAACACCATGCAGACCATAGCGGTGTTTGGCCTCATGTCAGTCGCATGGGCGCCAATGGTTTCAAGTGCAAGTTCAAGCTTTCAGATCTTCCTCATCGATTTGGACCAACTTGGACTGAATTGTGTGTCCCGTTCCCTTTTCAGGTTATTTTATGTAAAACTGGAGTGCAAACGTTTATTTGGTGTTTGTTTTGCGATCATACATACAAGTAGTTGTGATTGACGTAGTTTGTTTACCAGCTCAATGAGTCAAGTATATATAGACAACTTGTGCAACGTCCCAAGGTTTTGGGTAACAACAATGTCATCCGTTTCCTCGTACGTGGTGCATTTTTTTCCGCTCGCTTCCCTGACCTTGCTGTTGCGCTGGGCCCTATCACCAGTGCTTCAAAAGCTTGCAAAGACTTACCCAAAGTGCTGGCCGAAGCGTTTGAGATGTCAAGTGCCTGGGATGTACCATGTGGGAGGTTTGCTTGTGAGAAGTTTTGTCAACTTGTGGTCAAAAACGATATGCTTTGAGGACTCAAAAAACATGATACTGATTACTGCAGTGATTGCTGACTACTGTAGACTCTCACGTCGCAAGTCGACAGACGGAATCGGGTGCTCGATCTCCAAATGAAAAAGTCCAACCATTGATCTCAAAGTTCCGTGTTTATTTCACAAAGTCCAGGAAGTCACCAGCTTTGATGCATCAAAGGAGAGTGTGCGTGTGTGTGTCAACCTCTGTAACTAAGAGTTTTGAATGCAGGGGCTCTGAGCACTCCTTGGCAAACTCAGTGCAACGAAGCTATGCCTTGGAGTGGGAAGCATGGACTGATCATCCGTGTGTACCTGCGTTTTGAACTGTTGACCACGCCGTTCCAATCTCTTTTTTCCTTCCATGGTGGTTCCACGATACTTCCCCTAAACCTTTTTTCCGTTCAGCCGCCTGCAGCCGCTCGTGAGCTGCCGTTGCGATTCTGCAGATGCGCATAAACTATTTGTTGAAACACCTACAAGTTCTTGGACCTTTCGCCTTGCGGTTCTCTCGCCTTCCTTCCACTTGGCCATTGAATAACTGAAAACCAATGTCAGAGTGTGACTCGCTCAGTCGTCCCACTTGGGTGCTGGGTGTGATCCTCCGCAAGGAGGCGCCGTTTTCACTTCGGAATTCGTGTAACAGACTCCACCGTTTTCCTTCATACTTTGGATTCTCTTAACTGATTTGGTCTCACCATTGTTTTCCTTGCAACTTATGCCGCCGGGCCAACGGAGAATAAACCCAAACGTGTTCTCTACCCCAAACACCCCAACCCCTCCCCCCCTCTAATTAGGGTAACAGAGGGAAATGATACTCGGCACACTTGTGTGTCGGTGCCTTTCCCTCTGTTGTCCCTTTTCTAGTCTACTCTGCCCGGGCGGTGTAAGACATCAGTAACTCTAGAGTGCTAGGTAATCATACACACACATGTACATACACCTCCCTGCACCCGCTTTCCTTCTTGCGCTTTTGGTCGGGGCTTTCTCTCAGGCTTTTTAGGTTGTTCTTGAGGCTTGTTTCCCTACCCCAGTCAAGGGCTTAGTATTCACTTTTTTCTACTCCTACCTTTCTCTCTTGCCCTCTTAGCGCTGCTCTTTCTGTGTTTCTTTCTTTTGTTTCTAAGGCTTTTTAGGTACCTATTCAGGTCCTCTGCGCGAGCGCCGCAAACCGGCACCGTGTGTGTGTGTGTGTCAACCTCTGTAACTAAGAGTTTTGAATGCAGGGGCACTGAGCACTCCTTGGCAAACTCAGTGCAACGAAGCTATGCCTTGGAGCGGGAAGCACGGATTGATCACCCGTGCGTACCTGCGTTTTGAACTGTTGACCACGCCGTTCCAATGTCTTTTTTCCTTCCATGGTGGTTCCACGATACTTCCCCTAAACCTTTGTTCCTTTCAGCCGCCTTGAGCCGCTCGTGAGCTGCCGTAGCGATTCTGCAGACTATTTGTTGAAACACCTACGAGTTCTTGGACCTTTCGCCTTGCGGTTCTCTCGCCTTCCTTCCACTTGGGAATTGAATAACTGAAAACCAATGTCAGAGTGTGGGGGGGTAATTTTTCTTCAAAACACATAGGATGTTTGGTGGCTTGAAAGAGTGGTCTAATGGTGATGAAGTGGTGAGGTTGAACCGGTTGTTTCATTCATTTGTCACTTGTGAATGTTTTTTCCCTTCCTTCCTTCGTTCATGCGTTCGTTCGTTCATGAATTTCAGCATCATGTTGGCAACAACATGTTGGCAGCGTGCATGATCTAGAGACCAGTTTCCATGCTGCCCCGGTGCTTTCGGGCCTGTTGTCTAGTGGAACACCATTTGTCGACGGCTCCACCTGCTAGGTCAGCGAGTGGAAGTTCTTCAAGACCATGAATTGCACCTCGGCCCCGGGCGCACTACGACCACCGGCTTGGCCGAAAGGCCGAAAGGCGGACCTTTGGGCGTCCAAGAACGAGAACCAAGATCGGTGGTGAAATCCGTGTTGGGGTGCTCAAAGTTTAGGTTGTCATGGTATGTCATAGTCCCAGACTCTTTGACTCCTATTTTTGTTTCCCTGCCAGTCAGCGTGGTGTAACTGCGTAATCAAAGTAGTCGCGCCGAGGAATGCGCTAGTCAGACCAGCTGAGAAGTTTGCCAAGTGCACCGGAGTACCCCGTGCATGTCGAAGGAATTTAAGATTGTTGACGCAAGAAATAAAATGGAATCCATACCGGTACAGAACGATGTCCACTATCTAACGGGCAACTGGTGAATCCGAAGGACATTTGGGGCCCGCAAAAGAAAGATTAATAATCCCAAATAGTCGTTCTCTTCCTCTCTCAATAAAGTTGTTTACCGAGTCGAGCTCAACCAGACGCGAGCTACGCCGTCATAAGAAGACAAAACAGGAGGAACTTGCCTTGCACGAGACCACGAGGCCTTCACAAAAAGTTGCAGACCTGCGCGCCATGTTTACCCGTGAACTCGCTCACCCGTGAAGTTGCGCGCGTAGTGCATGTGCAAAACACTGGGCAAATCGCTCTGTGAAAACGATCTGGGTGTGTATTAGGAAGACTTCCCCGAAGGTTCCAGTTTCCCTATTAAGAAGCAAACCCATTTCATTGCTTGACCCCATTCCGCATCGTACAGCTCCTAAGTTGTTCTTGCGTGGTACGTGCCAGTGGCAGCTTGAATGGTGCTAACTGCTACAAATCTGCAGGTCTTGATTTAGGGATAGACGGCAATTCAGGTGGCAAGATTCATGTGACTCGTCGTCGTTTTCACACCTAGCCTACCAGGTGCGGGTCCTAGTCAGTTGGTTATTTGAGTATGTTTTGGTGTTCGGGGCTCTTGTTTTCAGCCCTCTACTGCGCACGCCACCCACCGCTCGCAAGTCGCTCTCGCTAATTTTCACGACTGTCGGTCCGGGTCAAATGATTGTTTTGGAGGACCAATTTGCAGGTTCGTGAATGATTTCTCCATGTGGCTGAGGTATGGGCACCTTCATCCAAGTAGGATTTGCGACACTCAGTGCTTTATCGTTGCAGCCATTGATGTGCTATCAGCACCCGAATGGACTCTACAGCGTCTTGAAGTACCCCAGTACATTCTGTGGTCACAGTGAGCAGGTCATCATGATTGCTATCGGGATGGTGCTTTGGCTGCACATGTTGCTCTGTCGTTTTGCTCGTCAGAAGACTGAGAATCACGTGAAGGGGTCACCTACTAGGATCATCCTAACGATTCTTGTTTGGTTCCTTAAGCAAAGTCATTTGGTGATCTTGCAAGCACCAGAAATTCATTGAGTCACGTGAGAGAATCGTGGGAGATGCCCCTAACTTTGGGAATCAACCAGAACTCGGACATGCAAACCTTTAAGCGGCAAATCTGGGTGCCTTTCAACTTTAACCCAGATTCTCGCACAGGATTCTTGGTTGGTTCCCTAGTCCTTCTGTGTCTGCGTTCCGCCCGTGATCGCTCCGGAAAAGGGGTGGTCAAAACCTCAAATCCCCAATGGTGCACCCCAGCAGTCTATTTCAGGCGCAACCTGCCGTGATCCAGCAGGTGATGTGGTCTTCATGCAAATGGTATTCCTTATGTTCGAGCGAAAAAAATGTGAAACGTGGTGAAACCTATATGAAACCTAATATATACGGAAAGCAAAAAACCAAGCGCGGGTTTTGGACACTTGGGGACATTCTTTATTAACAGTGCCTTCTTTTCTCAACAAGCTTCACCATCAAACGAAGAGCTCGCAGGTCTTGATGACCATTTTCGTTCTGGGCTTCTTTGCCGCCTGTAGTTTAGCTGCATGGAAGATGCCCACCTGGAGCCTTGAGAAGAATCACCGCTGGGTCACTGGGCCGCCGATATGTTGAACACACTGCGGGCAAATTGGGCAGGAAGCAGAAACATCGAGGCTTTCGGATGTTTTTGATTTTGCCAGTTTTGGTCGGACATGAAGATGTGGCTGGAAGCCATGGTTATCTTGGAAATTTTGTGAGTTTGTCCTTCTTCCACTTCCACAACAAGAACTGATCAATGTCAGCCAGAATAGTGACAACTATGATTCATCTTGCCACAAGGTGATGCTCTATTTATACACCCAGGTTCAATTCTCACTGAGTCGGAGAAACATGATTCAACAATCAAAAGTCAAAAAACTGGCTGAGTTCTCATCTCAGGCCGGTTAGAGGCACTTGGTCCCTGATTGATATGAGACTCAGGTACAATCATTCACATTCTTGACCGGGAAGTTCCGTCTTGATGCCTGGTACTTTGGTACGCCGCTGCTTCTTGGTAAACTATTGCTTGCACCGTGCTGTGCATGGTTTCAGCAAACAAGAAAACGTTTGAGACAAAAAACGCGCGCGCGGCCGCCTCCTTGCAAAATCGATGAAGCCTGCCAAAGCGCAACAAAGACTGCCATGCTGTCCGCAAGACCTTTTGAAAGGGAAGAGTTTCCTCCCTTTCTCAGCCCTTCGAACTTTCTCAGCCCTTCGAACTAGCAAGGCTTCTCCGCGGCTTGGGCTTGGGTGTCACAGTGGCCTTAGGCACTGATCGACCCGAAGTGTCGCAGGGCAGCGCTTGGGTTCGTTTTTGATGTCGAGTGGGCCCATGGTGGGAGTCCGGCTGTGAGTTGGTTGGCACCGAAAACTGACCAAAACCATGGGAGGTTGACACCACTTACAGAGGAATCTGTTCATTTTCGGGGTTCAACCAGGGTGCCCTGGTTTTGATTGAAGGCCCTCTAGTGAGTCGTTTCTTAGCGTGAGGATTTTTTTGATATGTGTGGAAAACAAACGGCTTTTGACTGTGCTCGGTGGTCATGTGAAGGGATGTGTGTCACAGTACGCCCATGCTACCAAGCTCAATTGACGGATTGAAAGATTTGTCCCTGAAGATCGGAGGGGATGGAGCTGGCTTTTTGGGGCTGATTCAACTGGTCAAAAAAGGCAATCACTAGATTCTAGATCACCAAGACATGAGCGAGAGAAACAGCGCTGGGCTACCACTGAACTCAGCGTAGAACCTTCAAGCACCGATTGCTTGCGTGAGAACAACACGTTCAAGAACAACGCAAGGCAGATTTCGCTTGCAAGCGTGGTGATCTTGCTCTACCTATGCACTTTGGTGCGGGTGTGGCCCTGGAAGGCTCGTGTGCTTAACGTTGCAGACACGGCCCTGAGCAACTTGACATGCATACATACATAACTGTTTGGATGTTGGATGCAAACAAGTTTTGCCCACCTATTCTATCACAGAACTTGGGGACGGAGAAATCCACCAATGGAAACTCCCATGCACAAAAAGAACTTCTTGTTGGCATTCTAGGGGCCCCTGAGCTCAGGTGCTGGGATGCTACTTTTGGTCCGTCAAAACAGCCACGCAGCCTCATCAGATGAATCTTTCAGAGAGGTGTTTTCCGCCTTGAGCCTTGACCTTCAATAGTTAGGATTCGGGTGAATAGAGTAATGTTCAACAACTACTTGGTGTTCGGCATCTCGGGTTCTGCACCTCTTCCGTTGGTTTCAGCTGGGTTGAGCAATCCTCCGGTTTCAGCAACTGCGGTTGGGCAGCCGGGATTGTCGGTTCAGCCACTGCGATTCAGCTACTGCGCATGTCCGTTTCAGCAATTTGGATGGTAGGTTTGAGCAGCTGGCCAGGCAGTCCATCGATTTCAAAACATTTATTTATCATCGATTTTGCAGCAGTTGTCGTCGGCTAGATGTCATAGAATGACCGTGTGATTTGAAGTGGGGGGGAACCAGAAGATACCAGAAGCGTCGGCCAGGTCAAAACCCACTTTCGCATTTGCAGACACCCACCTTGTAGTTGCTGCAGCCAGCTGCCACACATGCAAGCTGCCGAAACCCGTGTATCGAGTTGCCAAACCAGAGTTGCCGAAACCTGCTGAAACCAACGTTTTAGTTGCTGAACAACACGTTGACCAAGTGGAATGTCAATCCTTTGATACAGAATGTCCCCCCTCTCCCTATGGCTGGATACCCGTTGCCTGATGGTGGTCCTTGCGCAACTTGGTCGACTTTCCAATGTTTGTTGTAAACTGGAAACTTTTAACCGAGTCGCCAATCGAGTTTGTTCTCACATGTATTCCGTACCTTCTTGTACTTCAGGAAAGCACATAAGATTTTAGACTTTTGTGCTGGAAAAGATGAAGCTTGTTTTTTCGAGGGGTATCTTCGATTCAGGGGAACATGCTGAATTAACGCCGATTGAAACAATCACTCACCAAAGGTTCTCATATTTGGGGCCGATCGGGTTTGTCCCCCATGAATGGTGGTTCTTCCTTGTACATGAACATTTCCAAGCAGTCATACTTTTCCTTGTATGTTTATTGACTACAATGATTGTGGTGTTTTTTCGACCCATACTTAGCACCTGTCTCGACCAGGCATTTCTTCTTCCTGTGTGATCCTGTGTGGAAGTATATATGTCTACCAATGCATGGAAACTGTTCGCACCAAAGACGTGTTATCTGGTGTATCCAATTTCTTGATGGGCCGCAACCTCATATGAAAAGATTTGGGATTGTGTCTACTGCAGCTGTTGTTGTCATTGACGTTGATTCCATGCTTGTAGTAAAGAGAAAACACCATTGCCGAATATGTGTTAAAGGACAAGTTCCAGGGCTTTCATTTAGCTAAGGATCATCGTGCTCTTGTTTGGGTCCACAGCCTTCATGTTGATGCTTTGCGTTTGGGCGCTTGCGAGATCCCGATGTGGTGGAGATGCAGGAGCGTAAACCTGGAAGGTTACTTTCACCTAGTGTGTGAGGGTCTGAGAACATATTGGAAGTCGAGCCTGGGTTTCCTTCTGAAGGAGATGGAGGGTTCCTCCCTCGGCCTCTCAAAGATGTCACATTAGCTGCCACTACCCCAAATTTTGCGTCGCTTGCAAGGAGCCCCAAGGGCATGCCAAGGGGTCTGTTGCAAAGAAATTGTGAAACAAGGTTATTGGTTGACATGTTCTGCCTCAAGCTTTGTATGCAGCTGATTCACCTTTCAAACGATGGTACATTGCTTTCACTGCAATGTTTTGACTGACTAACCTTCTCAACTTTGGATTGGATGGAACGTGTACTTTGACTGCTGACCTGCTGTGGTTCATGGCATCCTTGACTTGGATTCGGTTGGAAAGATCTTTGCAACTTGCTTCCAGCCAGACAATCTCTAAGCCACCCGACAACCATCGCATTTGGTTTGGCACAAGTGACAGTGTACCACATACACTGAAGGTTCTGTCTAGAGTCTAGAGGTTACCTGGAAGATAGATAGCTGTGCTTCCACAGCCAAATATCTATGCTGTGTGATGCTTTATTTCAAGGCTTACCTGACAGCCGGGCACCGGCCGATAAAGAGGCACAGCTGTTGTTGTCCCAGTCTTTGTCTCTGCCTCTTGGGCAGTCACGGCCCGAGTCTCTTTCGCAGCCTCTGTCGCTGTGACCGCTTGTTTGCGTTCTTTTCATGTCCCATCGTCACAGGCGCGTAGCGGAGTGAACGCTGAGAGGGGTGAGCTGAGAGAGGGTCATGCATAGCGGCCAGAGATCAAGACATGGCAGCAAAGAGTTTGTGCGGGGTAGGGTGTGCCATTGTTTCTTTTTATCTCTCTCTTCTCGCCCACCCCGCGGCCATATTGCTGGGCACTGGTTGTCCCCAATTCTTGCGCGCGAGGCTTCGGTTCGGCCCCCCCCCTCTCTCTCTCTCTCCCGCTTTGTCCTTCCCTTAAAAAGTCTGTCTAAGTCTTCTCTTTCGATCTCTTTTGTAGTTTCTTTGTGTCTCCTAGTCGTGTGTCTGTCTGGGGAGTCCCAAAAAAGGGGGAAGCGGAAGAGAACGAGCAAGAGCAAAAGAAGAGCCAAAGAAGCAGAAGCGGAGAAGAAAGAGACAAAACCAAAGCAGTATATTTAGGAAAAGCCGCTAGAGAATGAGGGAGCAAAAGCAAGAGAAAGATAAACAAGAACAAGAAAAACAAGAGCAAGCACAAGAGGACAAGGAAAAGGCAAAGAAGGAGAAAGAGGCAAGGGAAGAGGAAGCGGAAGCGGAACAGAAACAGCAAGAGCAAGAGCAAAAGCCAGAGAAAGAGCAAGAGCCAGAGCAAAAGTAAGACACTGAGTAAAAGCATGTAAAAGCAAGAGGAAGGGGCGGAGGCACAGAAGGCGCAAAACATAAACACAAAATGCTAGTAATTGATGCAGGTCCGCTCGGGCAGCGTAACTAGCATCACAAACCCAGGCCACAAAACACCGTAAAACACAGTGTTCGGGCGTGGGTCAGCAGCTGGGGAGAGCATGCATGGTGCGCCCACCGCCAAGAAGAGGAAACATGGACCCCAGCCGTTTTCGGCCGTTCAGGATCGTTTAGGGGTTTAGTCTCTTGAGGGATTAGTTTGGTCACATCCTGGGCAACGCTTTTCCCGCGAGAAAAAACTTGGCGGTCACCCACGAGACTGGAATTTAAAAGTCATTTGGTTGGCATATCTTTGTCTATGTGACGGCCCAGTAACATCGTCCCGGCGCTCCACTCACACTGTTCATCGGCCTAGACCGGGGTCGGCGGATTGCTCGGTGAGTTTCGTTCTCATCAGATGCAAGCTGTGGGTTGCTTTTTGCAGGTATACCTGGGGCTTTTCTACTGCTCTTTCTAGAGTGTCAGCGGTCGCTCCCAGCCCAGCCCGGAAGGAACAAGTTTGCTCAATCTGGGCTTCAGAAGCAGCGCTGAGATGGTCTCACGGGCACTGATTCTTGGCGTGAGTCGGCAATCCAGCTGTGCTAGAGATGGTCCTGCTATCCACGATTGTTTTTTTTGTGGCGCAGCATTTTTCAACAAAAAACAATTGGTCTTTGTTTGGAAGTCCATTGTTAAACTGACCTCACCCCTCAGATTGTGCCCAGGAAAGACTGCGCGGAGGGGCTTTTGGAGATGGAGGCTGAACAACTGAAAGAGAAGCTGGGCAAGATGAACACCTACGACTTGGCAGCTCTTCAGGCCACGATCACTTTGACATCCATCGATTCTTGGAAAGTAGAACATGGAATCATATGGGTGCGCGCTTTAACAGGAGACCCCGTGGCCCAGTGGGTAGACTGGTCTATTTAGCTCAATTTGAGCCCGGCCCACACCTTGCGTGGGTCCAGGGCCCACGGTCCATGATTGCAAATTTAGGCCATATTTGCATACCTGGAGCATCTGAGATATGGCGCAAACCTACAACAGGTCGCCACAGCGTGGCCACATACGTATGCATGGCTGTGGGTTTGCGCAGAGGGTCAGGCGTCCCTTGGGTTCTTTGACGGCTGGGAGATGAGTGGAGCCATGAAAGCGAGTGAATTCTACCCTGCAAAAAAACACGTCCGGCCATTGAACCTTAGATTGAGGGGATTTCAGTTGGGGTCCCTGGCAAGTCCACAAGGGTAGAACTTGCATCTTCCCAAACGAGTACGCATTTGGGGAGACCTGTTTGGATGGAGAACCAACATGTTGAATCAACTTTAGCTTCGGATTTTTTCCGAGAAGGGGCGGCTGACCCTACTACTCAATTTACTGGTAGGTGCTTCTCTGACCCTAAGCCTGAGCCCAGAACTGCGTGATATGTGACGCATGTTTAATATTATAGTATACGTATAAATATATATATATATGTATGTATGTTGTTTTGTTGTCTATATATATATATAATTCTATTTGGCCCATGTCAGCCGCCATTGTGTTGGATCAGAAAGAGAAGAATTTGTTGTCACCCTGGAGCGGATTTTCCAATGCCAATTTGGGCGTGAACACTCGTTTATGCCATTTGGTGTGTGTGTGTCCTGACGAGGTGAGCTGGGCTGAGGGGTTCGTGATTCAAAGGTGAGCGTTGTGAAGGTTCGCAGTAACAAGTTCATTTGGGGCCAGTTTGCAACCCTGAAAAAAAACATGCAGTAAGTGGTTGGTGATGCGCAAGCCACTTGCATGCACAATCATGAACAAAGTAGACTACCCGACATGGTCAACCTACCCTGGTGAAACGGGCTCCGGGTTTTGACCCACAGCCATGTGACTTGCTTTCATTCCAAATCAGGAGCTTCTCTCATCCAGCGATTGGCATTTCAACGCACGTGTCTCCTTGCAAGCAATCAGTCATGGCGGCTTTGTCAGGAGAACAACCGGGGCGGTCCTGGTGACCAGCAAGACCAATTGAAACTTGTTTGAACGTTGTCTTTCTTGATGAGTGACCTATATTGGATCCTATTGGGCACATGTCTAGACTTTCTGCACTTAATTAATTACTGCTCACCATCATTTGATGATAAAGTGAAAATTGTTAAATGTGCCACTCTTGCCACCATCTGAATGGACAATTGCTGGGCCTGTGCCAGGAGAACACGTCACAGGTCCGTCGAAGAAAACACCCTCAGACACGAAGCATGTGAACTCGCCATCGTGAAATTTCACCTGACGGCACTATTGCTGACAATCCACACTGAAAATGCACACAGACTCCCAGAGTCCTATATGGTCCTAGAGTTGCTGACAATCTCGCAAACACACAAAGTGTCTCATGCACATCACATGCCATGAAAATCATCAGTTGAAAGGGCGTCTTTTCTAACAGGTACGTCTCGCACAACCATTGGACATATACTGTACTATCTTACGCCACCTTACACACATCTTCCCATCCCTCAGAGTAACCGCTCACCCTTGAAAGGAGCAGAAGCTTTGAGCCACAAGCACCAGCTCCTCCTACACCATCCGATCATGCAAATGATGCCCCTGGAGATGTGTCAGAGGTGGGACTTGGACTGGTTTGAGAGAGGGATGCTAGACCAAGAGAGAACTCAAGATCTTAGTTGGGCAGCATGGTTTTCGGCGATTGCAAGGCAATTCTGTGCTATAATTTGGTTCATCTAGTTCTCCAAACACTGTGGACACACTAGGGGTTCTTACGGTAGTAGTAAAGCACAGGCGTTAGATTCGAGGTGTTGCGCATCCGTGTCCGGCTAATTCGTTGCTATTTACAGTTTACATTCATGCCTCTCGAAATCCTCGAAATCCATTCGACTGCGCAGGCTCGCAAAATCTGCTTGGCTGGGGCGGGCACTTGTCACTTTTCATGGCAGGCGCAAGGGAAACCTCGTGTTTTGGTGGTCCAAAAAGTCGACTTTTCGTGACAGGCGCAAGGGATCGGAGCGGCTTTACTTCGAAGTGCAGATTTCGTGGCAGGCGCAGCACTTTGGACATGGTGGTGATTTTTGAGGCGCTCTGATTTCGTGACAGGTGCAGTGAAACGTGACTTTTGGACATGTGGCTCGTTTGCAGGTTTCGTGGCAGGCGCAGCACTTTGTGAACCTCGAAAAGTGCATGGGCGTTTAGGTTCGGTTCGGTTTGGTTGGCGCATGTTGCGATATTTTTCGATAAATATTGCTGACATGTTTTGGGATCGGTTCGGTTCACCATGATTTATTGAAAATGCTTTCGGTTTTCTGGGGGGCAGGGGGTCCTCAAATAGGATTAGCTTAGGCTTAGTCCTTTACTTGTGCAAAAAAAGTCAATCTCAAAGCTCTAGAGATGCTTCCGTGAGTCCAAGTGGCCTCAAGTGGCGGTGCCGTGACCACAGAGTCGAATTTTCTGTTGTGACCACAGCCCTGTGGCAAGGGCCAGAGCCATGCCCATCAGTTCAACCCGGTAGGAAGTGCAGATCTCGTTTAAGCACAGCACATATTGTGATCCTCAGTGCAGATTTCACTCTCACTCTCTCACTCACACTTTCACTCTCACTGCTCACTCTCTCACTCTCACTCTTACTCACACACTCACACGCTCACCCTCACTCTCACTCTCACTGTCACTCTCACTTTCACTCTCACTCGCACTCGCACTCGCACTCGCACTCACATTCACACTCACTCACACTCACACGCACACGCACACGCTCACTCTCACTCTCACTCTCACTCTCACCCTCACCCTCACCCTCACCCCCTCACCCTCTCACTCACTCACCCACTCACTCACTCACTCACCAACACCGCCATCACCACGATCTCCACCTTCATCACCACCATCACCTCTCTGGACCCCAATGCGTCTTGATCTCTAGACTTTCTGCTACTACATCTCTAGCACACACACACACACTGTTTGGAGTCTCTTGTCGGGATAACATTGAGAATGCCCTGTTTGATTGAGAGCAAAAGGACAGGATGCATGCATGCCAGCCAAATCAGCCAATTCCGCCAACACTCCAAGGCGTTGCTGACAGACTACCTTATTAAGCCGGATCTCCACTTACGTAGGGGGGTATAAGCAAGTTGGTCTCCACCTCACACTTCGACCAGGCTCCCATCCTTTCCCTCACATTCTATCGACCATTTTGCGGCTCGGATCCTTGATCCTGTTCCCCGTTGGCAGGAGGACTCCGAAGACATGGCCAATCGGAAGATTGGTTTGGTGGATGACCAGCCAACGCAGTCGGAAATGATGTAGGGATCCGTTGCGCGGTGCTTTTGACATCAATGGAACCCATGCTATTGTGCAATATTGCGCAGAGATTCGTTACTTGCCATGCCATGCACTGCCCAGACTTCATGCTGATACGTTGTGGCGAACTTCGGCAACATTGTTTGGGGAGTCAGTAGTCAGCAGCATGAATAACACGTGTGAACATGTTGTTTTTGCCGGGTCATGATGGGTCTGTCAACTTAGTGAGTTGCTACTGCTAAAACGCAAGTTGTGGAGAATCTTAGAGCAACATGAACATGACAAGGTTTGGTTCCCAGCAGTTGCTACAACGGTGAGGCCGCCATAGCCCAGCGTTCGTGTGTTTGTAACATGCCATTGATTTTCAACGTCACGTTTCAAGTCTTTGCGATCTGTGAAGATGATGATTCCCTTACGACCGGTGAATAATACCTGTTTGCCAATGCACCCCCAAAGCATTGGTGTATACTCCTGCTACCTAGAGGTCAGGGAATATGGATCAACCCTTTGCAGGTGCTTGGGACATGTTTGACTCTCGTGCGTCGTAAACCATTTAGGGGACGCATGGTTTGAGCAGTATTTTTTAAAATTGTTTTCATCAATTTTCGGGTTTGGGGCTGTTGTGGTGGCGAGAAACAAAGAGTTTCAGACGACCACGTGACTATGTATATATATATATATGCATAATTTGCATAATTGTCCAAGAGTTTCTGCCACGTGCAGCTCATCGAGATGTCCACCTCGGGACGGGACCATCAAGCTGTTTGAGCTGATCGGTCTCGCAAATTGTTGCGTCATCGGCCCATGATCTTGTGCTCCTGTGTTAGTCACGTTCCATGTGCCAGGGGACACCGGCCTCGTAGAGTTGTTGAACTCAGGTATTCAGTACAACCCTGGCAATCCATGTATTGTACGTACATATGCTGATCAATTGACCCCTGAAGTCAACCACCCCTGGCCTTTTCTCGGTCTGGCTAGGCCAGTCCCATGGATGGTCTGGAATCCAGATCTGCCAGGAGTCACATGTTGGGGTGGTGTTGGGTTTTATATCCAGTCAGATGTGGCACCCCGACTTCCTCCAAGCACCCCGACATGGAACTGTTGGTCAACTCTGGGAGCACACAGACCACCGCGCCCTGCTGCCGGGGACGCTGCCCAGTGCGACGCTGCAGTGGACGCTCCGTCGCTGGCGCGGGGAATTGGATCCACTTGGGGCGGCTCTTCGCGACGATGTATATGACGTTATATGTCACTGGAGTAGATGTCATCACATAGGGTTAGAGAGTTATGGCCTCCAACCTACTAGCGATGGCCTCCAACTTAATAGCAATGGCCTCCAACCCCAATAGCGATGTCCCCTATGTACCTTGGGTAGATGTCGTAACATATAGTTACATAGAGTGCCCTACTCTTGGTATATGACAATGTTCTATATGGTGTCGATGGCGAACAATCCCGTGCAATCGTACCTTTTGCTTACTTTTGCAAATGTTTGCAAGTTTGTGAAGAGCCGCTGTGTTGTTATTTTGCGGGGTCACAAATTTTCCAAGAAGGTTGCCTGCGTGAAAAAAGAACGAAACACATTTCAGGTCTCCCATTGAGGTCTGTGTTTGAGGGAGGTCCCCACGAACCCTACCCACTCAAGAGAGTGAAAACTGTTTGAGGGTTGGTGCAAGGGCTGGGGACGTTAAAACAATTTAAACTTTGAAACTAAGGTGTTTCGGCACAAGTCGAAACACACCCAACTTTGACCCCAAAAAACACCACCTTCACAGCCAGGCAGCATGAGCAAGCCGAGTAAACGTGCGATCAATTTGAAAGAACATCGATGAGAAATCATTGAGAGATAGCCCTAGGATGGACAAGCAATGCTTGCCAGTGGGTGCTCAGAAGTACATGGGGAAATGTCAAGAATTACATGCCCGACTGATTCGGGGTGGTGGGTCCGCTCGTCTTGCTTGACTGGGTCAGGTCACGTGCGTCATGTGCAACGTGTCTAGAGTCCGAACGATGCCACACGACCGATGCCACACATGACTGATGCCACGGGACGGTGCGACGGTGAGGTAACCCGAGGGTCGTTCAGGGACGGTGTAATGGGTCGTTCGAACTGGTCACTGGTTGGAAGTTTTGGACCCCTGGTAGGGTTATCGATGTTATGGGTTAAGTTGCGGCTTTCTCGACCTTTCGTGTTGATTGGCGTGTTTCTGCCGCCAGGTGTACCTACGCCATTGGTTTTCAGCGAAAACCTGGTAGATGGTTCGCATTTCTGGAAAGATTACAAGCTGTGGAAAGCTGGCTTTGTGGCAAAGGGCTTGCAGTCTCCTAGCACTTTGACATCTATCCTGGCATTGCTTTGGAAATCGTTCAGCTACACAAGAATCCAAGCACTATGAAACTAGAGTATGAGAGCAGACTCCACCATTTTGGACATTTTTGTGCGGTGTCTTTCAATCACCAAATTCTCAAGGGTTTTGGACCGTGGAAGGGAAGTGTTAGACTGAAAGTTGTTCAAAAAACAACGACGCGCACAACTTTAACATGCAAAACAAAATATTCTGTTCGTATATTATGCTTGTATTGAATACATGTGTATAAACTCATTTGATATCACTTGAGATCGCCCTCGTTCTTTTTGCTGGATACAAGTCATGAGCATCCGTATTCATAGAGTCACTACACCAGTCATGGACAGATCCATCGAGAGCCTCAGGTCGGCGCAACCGCGTCACTTCCCCGAAGACGAAGCGTGGCCAAGTCCAATGCCACCATCACCGCAATGGAGCAGGGCCGAGAATGGCAGCTGGGACTGGTTCTTTTTCATTCCATAGCAAAGAACCAGATAAATCCTGACGTCATCAGCTTCACAGCCGCTCTGAATTGCTGTGGAAGGGGTCGGCAATGGCACCTAGCGTTGGAGTTCTATGAGGCTATGCTACGAGAAAGAGTGAAGCCAAATTCTTATGTTTTTAATACCATGATCAGCATGTTCGAGAAGGTCAGAAAGTGGCAACATGCTTTGGCCTTTTTCACCGAGATGGCTTCCAGACAAGTTCAGCCAGATGTGTTCAGCTTTAACTCCAGCATCAGTGCCTTTGAGAAGGCTGCCCAGTGGTGGTTAGCACTAAGCTGGTTTGATACAATGTCACCACACGAGGTGCAGCCAAATGTTGTAACTTACAATGCCAGCATTAGTGCCTTGGAGAAAGGTTCTCAATGGCAGCGTGGAATCCAACTGTTCAAAGCCATGCAGATGTGTCATGTATCGCCAGATATTGTGAGCTACTGCGCAGCCATCACATCTTTTGGAAAGGGTGGAGAGTGGCAGCAGGTACTGCTGCTGCATGATGAGATGTCAAAAAGAAGGGTTGTGCCCAATATGCTCAGTTTCAATGCAACAATCAGCGCAGTCGATAAGGGTGGACAATGGCAGCTGGGATTGTGTTTCTTCAATTCTATAGCGCAGAACAAGCTACAGCGTGACGTAATCAGCTTCACAGCAGCTCTGACTTGCTGTGGAAGGGGTCAGCAATGGCAACTTGCATTACATTTCTTTGGGGCTATGCCGCGAGCAAGAGTGGAACCCAATGCTTACACATTCAATGTGATCATCAGCATGTTTGAGAAGGTCGGAGCATGGCATCATTCTTTGTCCTTCTTCACAGGAATGGCATCAAGACAAATTCAGCCAGATGTTTTCAGCTTTAACTCAAGCATCAGCTCCTTTGAGAAGGCTGCCCAGTGGTCCTTGGCGTTAAGCTGGTTTGATGCAATGTCAGAGAAGGTGCAGCCCGACACTCGGTTTTGCAGCAATTCCGCTTGACGTGGTTCGTCCAACCAGGCTCAACACTTTCTGCTTCCAATTTCTATGGGCAATTCACATTAATATCTTTGCATATTCTATGCATTCCTTATTTTTCAGATGGCCAATGTTCGAAGCACAACACAACATGTCCCTTTCCATACTCTTAGTCGAAGAAATATAGAAGTTGGTTGAAATCATTTGGAAGTGGTTGGACTTTTCGTACTCCACAAATCGCAGCCAGGATGTGTATAGTTTTAATTCCACCATCAGTGCCTGCGAAAAGGGCTCACAATGGCAGCAGGGCATCAGTTTGTTCGAAGCAATGACCAAGCACAAGGTGGGCGGCTTCGCGCTTTCACAGGATCTATACAACCCAGACCATCCGTGCATCTACTGAATGTGACTTCACCCTTCCACGCGTGGCCATGCAGTGATGCTGCTTCACACCCTTTGATGTGACCTAACCCGACCCCTTGTATGACCCATTTACCGATCAGGTCAGGGGTGGTTGCAGAGGGGTCAATGTAGGTATATACACTCCATACATGCAAGGTCTGGGCAGCTTTTAGATGTGGATCTACGTTTTGGTATTGAAATACCCATGCAATGTTTTGTGGAGTATTGAAATGAGTTGGTATTGAAATAGGGAGATTCCCCTGACCAATGGTTTATGGAGTTGTCCCGCCGTTTGGACATCATGCCATATTGCTCCATCCCAAAAGGTTGGACCCAGGCACCTGCATCCGTCTGTCGCGATGCTTCATTCAGAAGAAATTCACCCCACAGGCCCCACAGGGGCAAAAGGAAAAACCTGCTTCCTTCGGATTCATGTCAAGATGCTGCCAGCTGATGATGAACACATAGCTTGCAGACATCTCAAAACACCGACCTGAGCGCGTGAATCTAGCCTTTAGATTCTAGATTAGATCCTTGGATCCAACTTGGAGTCGTCATTCATACCGATGTGTTGACTAAAGGGGCAGCTGATTCCGATGTTTGACAAGTGGTGCATTAAACATGCAACTATTCAATTGGAACCAAAAAGACAAGACCGTCTCCTTTCTTGAATGTTTTCCTTTTTCCCTATGGCAGAATCTAAGAAGATGGCCGTCTTTTGTTCCTGTTCCCTATTTTCGTAACCGGACCTAACCATCGGTCGACCCAGGGCTGTAACTGGGACTTCGCAGGTCTCTCCCGACTTCATTAGCTGCGGTGCGGTCATCAGTTGCTGTGAGAAAGGCGCACAATGGCAGCAGGCGCTCCAGCGCCTGGCGGCCTTTTTCGAGCAAAAGAGGTTGCCGAGTGGCCGAGTGAGCGGGAAATGGGGTTTCTTAGTCTTGACTGAGCCCATGGAAACAGGTCGTTTTTGGAAGGATCCTCATGTGTTGATTTTTGGAAGGTCTAAGATAGGTGCCAGGTAGCTGAAATCGGTGGGCGGTCTGGTTCCATGATCCATCGCCGTGTGGACAAGGAGGTTGCCGAGACTTCTTCCACCAATGTAGCTTGAAACCTTGAAATGCTGCACTGCATATATACTGTCCCTTGATGGTTGGGCAGTTCATGACCTACCTCTAGAGTTGACTTGACCCCAAATGATACTCTTTGGGAGATTCAAACATCCCGGTCCCGTTCCGTGCTCAGAAAGGTCGCCAGTCCTTTAGCCACAAATTCCCCGCAAAACGTCCTTTGCTCGCAGCTTGCACCGCTCGCACTGCCCTTCCTGGGGCCCCGGTGCTGAGGAGCTCGTAAAGCACTGGTGGACCTTGCGTCAGGCACATGAAATGGATCTCGACTGGAAAGGACGACTGGGGACCCCGACCTCTTCATTTCCATATCGAGTCAAGAGGACCAATCCGTTGGATTCCTCAGAGTCGGGGTGGGACCTGAATCGAACGAAGGATGGCACAGTTGAACCAGGATCATCTCACAACAGCAGCAGCAACTTTTGGCACATATCATGTATTACACTATATTGTTCATGTTCCCACTCTAGAGTTGCGACTGTGAACAAAGCTTAAAGCATCTTAAAGCCATTGATTCGTTATGGGAAAGGGTCCCCAAGACAGTCGGGTTCGGTCCCATAATTGCGGTCTGAAACGTTCAGGTTTTGTGACACCTCTTGCAGTCCAGCGCAGAGCAGACCAACAGGACCAGCAGAACATGGGCTTTTGTATGATAGAGAGAACCCAAAGACATACAAGACCATTGGTGTGGGGGGGGCCGCCTCTTCCAATACACACGTCTTCAAGTCTCGTATCATTTTCCGGTTGTGGACATCGAAAGGCCAATGCTTGTGTTCTTGGAACTGGGAGGTGAGGATGGATTTCACCATGATTTCTGACACTGTGAGTGAAAACGAGCAAACACACAAAGGAGGTGTATATAAACATATATATATATATAGACTTTCCACACTGGGACTTGGTTTGGCATGGGTGCTTCTCTAGTTGCTTGGACGGTTTGGCTGCTGTTTGTTTCACAGGTTTGTCAGCCCGGTTGCGAGACGTCGCTCGGTTCGTGTCGGTCGCAGCGACCGCGTCGTCTGCCAGACGTTCATCAGAGAATTCGAAGAGCAGGCCAGTCGTGCAGATCGGTTTAAGGGGTGTCGAAAAAGATGATATTTGATCTATAGCTGTGATGTGATCCAGTTCACTACTCAATGTATTTGAGTGCTGGATGTTGCACGAATTCATATTGTGTTTGCGGGGCTGGGATCGGATTCCCTTCGAGAGTTCTCCCTCCCAAGAGACAAATTCAGAGATCTCCAGGGTCAGACAGCATAATCAGAGGAGTTTGTGGACCAAGCCCACAGTTACAGGTCGTTGGAGGTGTGTAATCAACTACGTTGATTTCTACCTCAATGTTTTGTTGCACTGGAGGAAACAATTACGCAAGTGCACGGACAGGTTTAAATTGTGCCTCAAAATCCACTTGAGGGGAAGGACTTCCAGAATTGTTTGCCTGCAGGATGAGCTTTTCCATCAGTACCAAGAGCAGTTTGAGGAGGAGCATACCACCATGCTGTTTTGTCGATGCGATTTTGATGTGAGTCCAAACGAGACGCCCAAAGTGAATTGCAACTGATTGGGTCCAGTCAGGTCGGTTTAGGACGTTCAAGACGTTTTAAAGCTTATGGCCCATGGCTATCATCCATATCATCTCAGAGAGAACATACTTTGGTGGCTGGAGTATTCCTCATGTTCCTCCCCTATTCCCCTATTGGTGCTAAACCCTCCAAAAGGGGTGAATTGAGAGTTTGATCGTTCTCACATAGAAAATGTCTTCTGTGAGTGTTGTTTGCGATGCTCTTAGGCTTCAAATGTATCATCATGCATCATATCTCCCACCAAAAAGCAATCTCATTTCACATAGAACTGAGATGGAAACCATTGAAGTTTTCCAGGGGAGAACTTGAAATTGATCCGAAAAAATGAAGCTCTATGATGCTTCGAAAGACTATTCTGTACTCTTTGCAGAACCCTAGAGTGATGATGTGGCGGATTGATGCTGATTTGATCCATGTTGATGTATGAATGGATTACAGTGGATTACAAAGGATCTACCTCGAACCCTGGAGTGGAGTACGTAGTACCAGATCTCGCGACCTATCCTCATTTTTGGCCAATGCTTGGTCGCTCTCTATTGTTCAAATTTTGCTATGTCAGGTAGAACATTGCAACCATGGTATGCGAAATATATATATATATATGGATAGATAGATATCATATAGATGTCATATACTATATCCAAAACATGGTAGGTAAACATGTTTGAGCATTCCTTGCTAGGTGTAGGATGTTTTGCATGGTCAATCGCAGATGTCTTTCACCGCCCTTTGGATCCATCGACAGTACCCGCCCTTGCAGGAGAGCAGTGATTCATCCTCCGAAGCTGAGCAGGAGAGCACACCTCCAGATCTGCGGAGTACATCCGGGGGACGATCGAGGGGGGACTCCAAAAGATTGACAAAAAGAACACGACCGCCCATCTGGGGATGAGACAGATTTGTCCGAGAAAAGGCCAGGGGTGGTTCAAAGGGAGGTCAATGTAGGTATACATGCCATACTATATATAGATAGAGTGTCTGGGAATGACGATACCGCGCAGAAGGTTATACCAGCTCTACATCCCCAGAGTGAGCAGAATGAGGATCATTTTGAGGGGATTGGTTCTAACCCTCGGCCACGGACTTGTCCCTTGTTTGACCCGACGATGTGGCTTGGCTCTTCTGCCTGGCGACAGGGGATTGTCAGGTGGACCCGTTGCCTTGGGGTTTTGCTGGCCTTGGGTGCTGGCTTTTCATGTAATTACCGAAAACCCGGGCATTTTCATAGACACGACCCAAAATCATGGGACCGGCATGTGTACCCCATATGTACCCATCGATTTACTGACATCAGCCACCCTGTATAGAAATCTTAAAACAACAACACGGGAGCGCCACCGAGGTGTTTCGCCACCCCGTGTTTCGCCACCGACCGATTTCAGACGTCCCACGGTCGCTGGCGAGGATCCCACCGACTCTGGGACACTTGAGACCACCGTGAGCGGGGTGGGGATGCTCAGGGGCGCCAGGCCGAAGACGTCTCTGTCCCGGTGACGGTGCCGTGGAGTCTGGGGCTTTGGGATCTGGCAAGTCTTGGTGTGAAAGAAGCCGAAGAAGCTCTGATTTGGTGAAAGATCGGCAGGTTCGCCGCTGGTTCTGAACGGTGGGGTGCGTTTGGGTTCGGGGAAGCTCATGGGTCGGTCCAGCCTTTATATAACTGCGATGGCAGAACTGACAGAAAGAAGTCCAAAAGAAGCAATGGCAGCTTGAGAATGTTTGATAGTTCCTTTCAAATCGTCGAAGGCACCATGAAAACACACAACACATGTCGTTTCTCGGGCTTATAGAGCAGTTTGTTCTTGTTTTTTTACCCACCATCACCTCGGGTTTCGAGTTGACCCAAACCGGCTGCAGGAGCCTGAAGCCGAAGAGTCTGCTCCCCGGAAGCCGAAGATGCATCGATCCTCGGAGGCTCATCGTCACCGGAGTTGGCTTTTAGAATGGGAGGGATCAACCGGGGTCAACCCCTGGGTTCCATAAAACGATTTATAGATCTTAGAGAAACTGCCTCGAACTACTGCACAATAGATGTGATAGAGGACATACCAGGACCCCCTGTTTGGAGTTTCTATTGATAGCTCCTTAGAGGTTAAGGGGTGTCCATTAACCACCCCTTGTGTGTCCTTTTAAAGTTACATTGCAATATGTTTATATATGATTGTATATGTATGTATATATCAAGAGCTGTAGGAGCTTTGCCTGTTTGTCTTGCAAGTTCCCGAAAGTTGTCGATTCTGGATTGCAGACCACAAGGTCTTTGAAATGCAGGAATGAGTTAAGCATAGTCAAGC